TACGATCTAGAAGCTCATATTTTGGGTTCCCATTCTGGACCCCATTGGTAATACGGAAAAATCGTACATGAAAATGGGTTAGAACTTGGACCATCGCTTAAAAGATATATTTTAATGCAGAACGTAAGAGAATTCAACCACAAATTCAAAGAGGTATCCCATTGTAAATCAGGATACAATAACTCAAGTTATGGAATCTTGAAGCTCCGATTTTGGGTTCCCATTTTGGACCCCATTGGTAATACGGGAAAATCAAACATGAAAATGGGTTAAAATTTCGACCCTCGCTTAAAAGATATATTTTAATGCAGAATGTAAGAGAATTCAACCACAAATTCAAAGAGGTAGTCGCCTTAGTCGTTTAGCATTCGCATTTTGATTAGTGGCTCTATCGCCTAAATTATAGTTTAAGTGTACAGATACGTACATTATATATGTCCGCGTATGCATACACGTGGCATATCTTTGGGCACACACTCTCTAATGGGCGTTTCAGGATAATAATTTCCTTGAGCCGGCGGCGTCGCGGGGAATCCCCGGGCATATAAGCGCCGCTCATTTATCACAAATTTCCCATTTCGCAGCGGCTTGTCCGAGAGCTGGGTAAAATTAATATGCGAAAATAAATTATCTGGCCAAATGAGCAGCGTTTACCGCAGTCGCTGAAGGTTAAGAGTATGTGGGGGAAAATCCCATTTTCACACGCGATTTTTTGTGTTTCCGCCAACTCCGGAGGCTTTTCAGCTTCATCAGTCACAGGAGCAAATGGCTCAAAGGGCCGGCAAATAATGGTCAATAGGGAAAAAACAAGGCATGCGATACCCTGGTGATTCTATAGGGTAATTGAATATCGGTCAAGTGTGAAGGAGTGGGGTCTGGGTATGCCCATCCACTCGGAAAGCGATAAAACCCCGAAGTAAATCCCTTTAAGGCGGCTTTAACATTTCACAATGGCTTAAAGTCCTATATCCAGTAAAAAAGACCACTTTAATAGATGGGATCCGATTTTCAGAAAGCCCACTCACGTGCATTGCCTCTGATAATCTCCCCAACAACGAGCCTAATTTGGAGGCATTCATTTGGAAAATTAAAAATTAAATTGCTTGTCTCGCTGCTCCCGCCCTGATATGGGTAATAATGTATATATATTTTGTAACAGTGGCCCGCAATAAATCTCATTAACGAGCACAAAACATAAACAGCATGCGGCAGCGCAAAAAATTGAGGGTTCCCTGGGTTCTTTTGAGGAACTGTCGCCACTTTTGAATGGATGTTGCTAAGCACTCAGTGATTAACAAAGAAAATGTGAGCCTGACGAATTGATTGGATAAGTTAGTTAGCCAGGGGAAAGGACTTCACTTAAATAACCAAGTTGTCGTCACATCCACTCGACAAAGCCAAAGATATCAATAGACTTTAAGCTCATACAACAATATTTTTGTAAAAATTGCAAAGTATACATCTAGTGATATAAGAGGATTACAAAAAAAAAACAAAATTCCCAGCATAAGCACAAATGCGTATTTAAATCCTATCGCAACATTCCGAGGCAAAGGGAGCCGGCAATCCATCATAAACCTGTCAGCCGCAATATGCCAAGTGGCTGCGGTTCGGCAGCCCAACTCGGCACCCACTTAAACACCCAACTCCCCCTTAACCCTGTTGCACCATATGCCATATCATCATATCACATGCCACATGCCAGCCGATGCGTTGATAAGATTATTGTATGAAGATATTCCGCAGAACGCAACACATTTGCATAGTGGCTGCGGCCACAAAAAGCGGAGGGGAACCGGAATCGGAATCTATGACATGCCACGGGACTTGCCGCCGGTTGCACGTTTAAATTGTATTTTGTCGACTGCCATCTGCTCGGCTACGAGCTACAAATTTGCCAGTAAACACTCGAGCGAATCCTGGCAGCCGGAAAGCAATTGCTTCGCGCCGTGCGAGCCCCTGAAATATTAGCCTCGTTTGCCAGGAGTCGAGTGCCCTCGCCTCCTATTTCTGGGACCCCACTTTATGGCCTCTGATTGCATTTGCCTGCCAAGGTAAAAATCACGTGGGGTATTGAACGTTTTACCCCGAATCGTCTGAATAAATATTTAAATATTCCCAAGATTGCACTCGTTTCTCAACTCCCTGCACGTTTTGAAAGTGTAAATGATATCGGATTTCAGAGTTGAGTGTTGCCGCGATTAAGGTCATGTTTCCTCAACGATTTCTAATGGTTTTGGGAAAAAACAAAGGTGGCATTATTTTCCTTTCGATTTTTTTCAGAGCTAATCAGTATGATATTCCATATTAGAATCATTTTTTTTAAAACAAAATCGGCCTAATACAACATTTTTTCTAGCTTTTTTAAGCCTACACACTTGCTTTAACCCACAGGGCGACTTCAAAGCCACACGAGGGCCAATAAAACAAGGACCAACTCATCGGAATATTGACGTCGGCCTCTTAATTGCTTGGCAAACGTTCGCCAATTCATCGCACACCAGATCAGGAAATCAGGAAGGGGAAGAATGCTTTGGCTTTACCCTCGTCTAAAATACATTTTTTTCAGCCGGCAGCCTTCTCTTTCCCTTTTTTATTAAGGACCAAACGGCATCCGCCTCCAATTAGAGTTTTGCTGATTTGGCGCACTTAGCGAGAGGCATGTGTTTGTACGCCTCGTTGGCCATCGTCCACATAGAGATGGGTTCAGATGAGTCGAGATGGTCGCGTGCTGTTCGGTTGTAGGAACCCATTAAGATCATGCTCCATTAATTGAGTTCCCATGAAAAACGCCCGGTCCATGTGAATGGCACTTGTTACTGGTCTGTATGGCTGGTTGGTGTCAAAATTGTGCATGTTCCAAATGGTTTTTGGCCTGGTTTGGCCTCCCCCTTCAAATTAAGTTACACTTGCAAAGCGCCAAAAGAATCGTGGCCGGAAGTGGGAGATTGGAAGTGGAACATGGCTATGAGAATTAAATATGCATGGCTATGTTTTGGAGCTCGATGGCCAAGTGGGAGTCCCGGGACTCGATTCCCCCTCTTCTCCATGGGCCGTAATTGTAATTAGCTTCTGCAGAGTGGGCTCCAAACCGAATCGGATGAACAAAGGATCTGAGGGGCGTGGCAGATTTGGCTATTGGGGGCGGGAGTGTGTGGCCAGCGGGTGCTAAATCAGCTAAATGGGTTAGCACACTGGCGGCGTTTTGGCAGATAAAGGGCATAAATAATCAGCACATATTGGGTGTGAATGGGACTCAAACAAAATTTGGTTACCCCTTCGTTGATTTGGGTTTCGAATTTTATAAAATTACATTTTCATATACGAAATGTAAAAGCCATTGATTTCATTTCATTGAAACCATTTTAATTAGTTTATAAAACGGCATTTGTGGATTCCCTTTTAATAAGGCTGAGTAAAAATAAAACTTTAATTCGCTCTCAAATGTTTAGATCTGATAAACATGATTAATTGCTCAAATTGTAAATGTTCTGTTCAGATTAACATCAAACTTGCCGCAAATGTTAAGCAATCATTTTTAGCTTTTCCACAGCTTGCACCTCTTAAACCTGTGTATTTACCTCTGCTTTTTAGCATGCCGTTGGTTATAATCCTCGGTCTGTCAGCAAAAAGTTTCGCCAAGGTCTGGGGACCTAAATGAAGTTTGTGCCCGCACTTAACCAAACCGCAATAAATCAAAACACCTGGTGGGAGGTACTTAGGGGCCATGCCACCCAGAACGACAGCCCAACAATGGTGCGACATGGAAAACAAAACAGATAGCAGCGAAGTAAAAAATATTGAGAAAGGGTAGCAATGTTTTAAATACCCTAGGCTATGCTCTTAGAAAAAAAATATGACAAGTTTTTCAGTATACCTATCATTTTTTGGAAATTTTAAATCTTAATATGTACAATACTTATTTGAAAGTTATACCTAAAAAGTGAATTATTTTATTAAATAGATTAATTTTTTAAAAGTACACTAATCTTTATAAGTTTTTGGACATTTAAATTATAAGTATTGAACAATTATGATTATTGTACCTATAAAAAAGATATTTTATTGTTGCATTTTTTTTAAAAAATTACATTAATCCTAAAAGTTGTATTACTTTATGGAGGTCTACCTCTCCCAAAATTCCCAGACACCTTTGTTGGGAAAAACAATAAGGGAGGCTAGCACCAGGCGAAATCAAAACTTTTACGGCCCCACAAAATAAACGAAATGGCCAAGAAGGCGATAAGGCTGCAACAACAATGGCAACAACAGGTGTTCGACACAGATTCACACGCTCTCACCTACACATACACACTCATAGACACTCACACCCACGGCAACCGGAAATGAAAACACTGTTGCCTACTTGCAGGCGCAGCTATTTTGAATGCGGGCTTATCCACACCGAGTTTTCTGCATTTGTTAACTGCATTTAAAAGGGCTAAACAGAAGCACAAGCTACGCACTGCCAGCAGATGAAAAGTGAAAAACTTGTGCGCTGAAGTCTGAAAGTTTTGTGGCCAAGTTTTTTCTCGCACCTTTTGCGGGCTTTCGAAAACGCAGAGCACTCTCCCCACAGAATGCAGTTAAAACTTGCAGCCGCAATTCAATTAAAACTTCAATGTAATACCACGGAGTACACATCCCCTGAAAGTATGTATATCTTTTATATATATCTACATGAGTGGGGCTCCTTAACGCTGGCATGACAGCCGCGTGCCAAGTGGCAAGTGGCAAGTGCCTCGGATGGCTTCAAACTTTGTTGCACCGACCTCAGCTGTCCCCGTGTAAACAAACGCCCTAAAAAGGGGGCGTGGTGGGCGGTAAATGAGCAGCGGGCTAAGAACCATAGACGGCCAGCAAAACAGCCGGTTTGTGTTTTGGAAAACGGAAATGGGAGCAGGTTTCAAAATATTATCCGCGCAGGCGCTTTTCCACGGTTTTCTAACGCCTATAAAAGGGCTGTTCTGGCCATGGCCAAATCAGTTGGTTCGTGGCGCTTCTCCGGAAAACTTCTAAAAGCGGAAAACCTGAAAAACCCAAAAACTATAATCAAACTTCAAACTCGAAACTTCAAGCTCCAAACTCCTCGTGTCGATGTTGTTCAGCAAAGCAATAAAAACTGTAATTAGTGTGCGCTTGTGGACTCGCCAAATTTAATTAGCAAACAATGCGGTGAAAAGTGGCAAATAAATAAAAACAACAATCTGAAGAGGAAAAGGGTATAAAAACTCAGCTAGCAAAAAAACAATATAAACGAAATGCAGTTTCCAATGATTAGTGCAACAAAGGGACCACAGAGTAATCTAATTTGTGTTGGCATCCAAATCAGATTACAAGCTTAAATAGTTGTGTGATCCGGTATTATTTTTAACTTTCCCAAAGGAAATTTAAAAAAATTTAAATCAATATTTACATTTTACAGTGATGGTCTCCTATGAGTGAAAATATTTGAAAGTTTCCTAGAGTGACTTCCAAACTAACAAAAAGTTTACAGTTTAAGTTTATAACTAAAGAATAAATAAGAAACTGGATATCTTATCAGCTGCAAAAAAGTGAATATTTAATCCTTAGGTAAATTATTTAATAAATTTAAAATTCGTTCACGGATTATGTGGTTTATATTTTATTTAAAATTTTGGTTTAAAAAGTTTGTTTCACTGGGAATAAAAGAATCCATTTTTTTACCTAATAATTTCTCTGTCCTTATATTTGCATAAAACAAAATCAAGATAATACAATTCTTATTTTGGGATTTTCCTTATTAAGGAAGTAATAATTCCAAATTTAAGGTTATCAAATTTTTGGAATTCCGGGCTTACAACGAATTTTTTCCTCCAAAACCCCTTACACATAAATCCATTGGATTCCCCACTGTTTAAATTACATATCGCTGTTCTATGGGCTGCAAAGCGACCAACTCCAAATATTTGCAACTTGTGGCAGGGTCTTTGGAGATTGAGATTGATGCATGTGCTCGGCCTCTGTGGTGGTTCAGCCACATATGGTGGAGTACTAGTTCGTGCGGCAAGCTGCCTAATTGCAGGGCAACCTCATCGCATCAGGCTCGCTTTGAGCCATTCCATAGCCACAATTTCATATTGTTACAAAATTGCATTGTTAATGGCCGTTGGCAACTCTCGCTCGACTGGTAAATGGTAAATGGGCAAATGCTAACTGGAAACTGGCAACTGACAGTCGCTTCTGTCTGTCTGCCAGCTTTGCCAAATGGGTTAATGTGGGCCAGGCCAAGGGGAAAGGAGGAGATTTAGGGGGTTAAGGGAGAGCCATTTACATACCAATGGTTAATGTGCAGTCCTTTGTAATGGGGCAACTTTTTGCTCTGTCAGCGCAAAATATCTGCGGTTATCTCCGGGGCCAGCGAATTTCTTTCCTCCCAGTTGCAATAAAAATAATCCTGGCATAGATAATGGATAAATGTATAATGGAACCACCCCCCAGCATAACCCAATGATTTGGATGGTAGCACCTAAGTTGGCCTGTTAAATCCATTTAACATCGACCTTTGGGAGTATATAGGATGCCTGCAAGCCCACTTCACTCCCCATTCGCAACAATAACGATAAGAGCATAGAAAACAACAAGAACAGAGACGCTCTTATGCCATTAAGTGGCATTATAATTACAATTTCCACCAGGGACCAGAAACCCGGCGAAAGGGGGAGTTTGGGGGGCGGAAATAAGGCCGACCTCGACTATAAAGTTCGCATTCGAAGGACTCATTAAGCTGGGAAGAGGCCACTTAAGTCGGGCGGGTTAACGTTTAACTGCTGACGCCAGTCCTGTACTCCAAAAAGGACTCGTATTTGCAGAGGAGTCTAATCAGAGCTTCGAAGCTGGCCCAATTAGCAATACGCTCAGCAAATAATCCGCACGGATTTTAATTAATTGGACACCCGTCTTCGCAGTCGACTTACGTCGCTAATCGTACTACTGCAGGTATATTTTATCCTGTTTTTTGAAGCCATGGAAGCCAGGACCCTCCCTATATATATCTATACGATGTTGGCAGAGATTCGGGATTTTCAAATTAATTGTGCGCATAAATTTTCAGGGGTGCTCCGGAACCGGCAATAAATTCACTTTCGTCTCAAATGAGTTTGCATAATTCAAATAACGAAAATTGAAATATATCCCAGGCCAATATTTGTTTTAGTTATAAAGTGGATTTACCAGTTACCCCAATTTGTTATGACTTAAGTCTGTCGGTTAATTGAGCTGGGATTAAGGTGAAAAATCGGTGGTATATATAAATACAAATAGCTTTACTGCAGAGGAGAGAAAGAGGAAATCAATAAGACCGGAATTTAATACAACCACAGAGGAGCTTAGGGAAATTCCTGGGCAGGAAAAGTTGAGCCAGTGAAACACGAACTCCGGCTGCAAGTGATTTACATATTGGGACCTGCTGGAATTAAGTATCTCGAAGATGGCGCGTGGCAGATAAAACTATTTTAGCACTATGCCATACAATTGGTGAGATCCAACTAATGGCTGGGAAGATTACGCATACGCCCGGTTGGATTCGTGGGATTCGTATTCGTCCCTGGGTTTTCAAGGACTATAAAATTAATTTTAAACACTTGGAACTTAATCATTCGCACAGATAAAAGGCGACAGTTGTCCCCGAGGATAATTGCGTGTGCGTGTGGAACAGTCGGGGACTTCAGTCAGTTTGATTCGTCTGGGGGAGGAGGGTTCTCTCTGGTATGGTTGCCCGTAATTCCAGGCATAATTTGGGTACAAAATATTCCTGCCCTTGTTCCCATTCTCTGCTCCCAATCCCTGACCCAAAAAAAAGGGACCCACTTGTGGAAGTTTGGCCAAACGTGCTGAGCCTTTAAACTTGTCCAGTCGACCGAGGTGTGGGGATAGGGGGGTGGCTATCAGTTTTACGAGTCCTCGGGATCCACTCTTGTTAAACTCGCATCCCGCTGCTCACATTGTTGTCAGGCGGTCCAGGGACCACTCGAAGCATGTCGGAGATTTGCCTGAGCCAACTGCCTTTTGATATTCAATCATCTCGAGCATCGCTCCCAAAATGGCACCCACGCACACACACAGTAAGGAAAAAAAGTTTTTTGGGGAGTGTGTTAAAATATAGATCATTATATTAGGACACATATTCTTAAGAGATTGAAAATAAATAAAATATTTCTAAAAATTTTTTATAATATCAACATAGATAGTGCTATTTATATATTTATTTAATAAAATTTACTACCGTAACCTGTCTTTTTAACTCGATGTTCTATAAGTCGAACTAGTTTTATAAGCAACATATAGAACTTAACTTAAGACCTTATAAGTCGAATTTTGGTATAAAAGGGCGATCCGAGTATGGAATTTTAAAATTCCTATGTATCAATTTTTTTTTTTAGGTAGAAGTTAATGTATTTTAAACGAGATCTTTCCATTTATTATTATTCGTTAGATATTTTCTTGAATTCTAGCTATAGCAAAATTGTTTTAAGTACATATACGCACACACATGCCTGGGTTGATTTTCTTCAATTTGTTCATAATAATGTCCGCCTATTTTGAAGTGTCACAGCGTGGGCGGAAACAAGTATTTTGATGTTTCCTTTTTCCGGGCCTTCAAAGGGAAATCGAAATCAATGTGTGTGTGGGTTCGACAAAAAGTCCAAAAAAGGACTCGACAAAAGTAAAGCAATAAAACCATAAAATCAGAAAACAATACTAATTTTCGGTGATGGGACGTCCGAGTATTCCCCAATGGCCAGCCGCAGAATCGCGGCATAAAATATGCATTTAGCTTTGCCATCCGACTTTTCCGCCTGATTTATGTACCTATATAAATATATATATAGAGGACGTGCCTTGCCTTTGCCCACCTTGGCCAAGTCTATTTGGAATTCAAAAGCTTTTAACAGATTGTCGCAGGCAGTAACTTTGCCAATTTACAAAAGTTCAACTGAGCAGCAAAACGAAAGCAAAACAAAATGGATTAGGGGGGCAATGAATGGGGGGGGGGGTGGCAAAAAACAATAACAATTACACTGATTGCCGCCCCCGGAGAATAGAATAGGTTGAATGAATGTGAGTGACGACCTGCCGGTCAGTCGAACGGAAGCGGAAATGGGAGTGGGAAAGCGGAAATGCGGAACAGAGCTGGTAACTCGGTCGCTTTTCGCCGTTTTTCTGGGCCAACCGATAGAACAAAACTGGCCATAAAACAATCGAGGGCTCTCATTTTTGCATTCGGTGCCATATTTGCTCGGTTTTCCATTCCGCACTGGCATCGAAAAGAACGAAAAGGATGCAAACGTTACCAGAAAATTCGGAACAGCCACATTTATCTGCCCCAAAAATGTTTTGCTGTTTATTGTTTCGGCCAACAGCGATTGCAGTGCTTATGTGCGTAGAAATTCTATTTGATTGCAAGTTTATGTTGTGGATTTAACTTTTTCCACTCCCTTGGGAACTCCAAAACTGCATCTTCCTCTAGCCATTGTTTGCTCACCACATTGCTGCAGAAAAACTTAATCCAGATATTTATTTCCTGCACCAGGATGCTGCGCTTTGATGGCCCCAAACCCTGCATCCAGTGATCCTGTCCCGAAGTAATCTTTGTCCTTAAGCTGCTTGTTACCATGAAAACCTTTTATAGCCGCTATAAATTCTCGTAAATACCACTCTTTGGTTTGAAATTCAGAGTAGTTTTTAAATAAATAAATCTGAAAACCAATGTTTAAGTATTTGTCCTAAGGTAAAAAGGATATTTTTCAGTTTAATTGGAACCAAACTTAAGTCTAAGCTGATTTTGGCTAACTGGATTTATTATACAAAAGAGACATGACAACCTAAACTTGATTGATAAATATATAAAATTTGTTGACCTATAGACCATTTTCCTTTAAAATAACATCAGTTTCTTCACTGCTAATACTCAAGTAAAATATCAAATTAATTTGCTTTGGCAGAAAATAAATATAATTCCAAGCAAGAAATGTGAGTCAGAGTTGCATTTAATACATGCAAATTTGATATTGCACTTTTTGGCATGAAAGAAAATTCGATATTTTGCATAGAGTCCTGGGGGCAATTGGAAAAGATTTAAATATACGTACAGAAAGCGATATAACATTTCACATAAATCATCGCAGAAAGTAGCAACTGCAACCTGCAGCTGCAGCTATTATCATGCAAAAACCGACTCCATTATTTGAATAGAATTGGAGACTCTTTGGGGCTCTGCTGTTCTTTTGTCCCTTTGTCCTTTGGCAATCCTCCACCACCACCTCAATCACGGTCTATGTATTTTTTCGTACCTTTCTCCGCAGGCCAGCGATGAATGCAGGTGCTGTGTAAGTGCCCCTGCTCTGGAGAGGGGCGGATCCGGGCATCCGCATCCGCATCTGGAACCCAGTGGAATCAAAGCCGGAACGTGACTTTTGCCGAAAGTAAATTGAGCCACCGCAGCAGCGATAAAAGCGATAAAAAGCTGCCATGCCAACCGGCGAGTGTTGCTAGGAAGGACACTCTTTATCGCCGAGATAAAGGATCCATGGAGGGGCCAAATCCAGGTGCACCCGTGATGAGAGCCGATGACATCTATTCGCGGGTGCCCCTGCCCCTACTCCTCCTCCTGGTCACGCAGCTCCTGGCCTCCGCCGGGGGCACTCCCCTGCCCCATCCCTGTGCCCACAAGGGCATGGCCGAGTTGATTCGCAGCAGTCCGGTGATTGTCAAGGCCCTGGCCGCCCGGGTCTTTACTGACATGGATGTGGAGTCGACGGCACAGGACACGATTTTAATAACATTAACGCCGGAAACCATATACAAGGGTGCCTCGCTGCTGAAAGTGGCCAACGGCGGTGGCGATGCCGAGGACCCAATGTCCCCGCGAGCCGGCGGTCTGATGTCCTGGAGCTCGGGACGCAGGAGCCGAGGGTCGAGCGGGGGAGCCCCGGGCGGTGGTTCCTCCTCCTGGAGTGACGCTGCTGCTGAGTCAGCCTTTCAGTACGAGGGGTAAGCCATCGTGGTCATGACCGTCCTCATTTTGTCCACTTTACCTTTACCTTTGCCACTTTATTTTACATCCTGCAGTCAGCTAAATGCAACCCTCCAGCCACTGCGTTGTTTCGATAATAACATGCTGAAAATGCTGCCGGCTGAATTAATTGCCTTTGGCAAACTCCTGCCCGCTGCGACGGCAACATCCTCCGCAGGGGGAGGTGGAGGCGGAAGCACTCCCTCTGCCGCCAACCGCCCAGCCCAGTTGCAACGACCGCCCGTGGGTGGCGCCACTGATGTGCTGCAAATCAGCGTCAACGGTCTGCATCGCTGGACGCCGCAGTTCGAGAATCATATCTGGAAGCATTTGGGTAAGCGGCCACTTCCTGTGTCCTGGCTCTATACACTGAAAACTAAATTTCGTTTTAAATTAAAAATTTTAAATGGTCTCCAAGAGATTTTTAATCAAGATTTAGTATGAGTAAAAAAGAATTGGTAATACAATTTAAAATTAGCTGAATTGATTTCATTAGGCCAGTGGTTGCTAAAGCGCTTCGCAGGCAGTCCTTGGGAATCAATCTTTCTGCCGATGCTCTGCCGCAACACACACGGCACATGTTACCATGACATTACTTTGTATGTTGTTGACCGCTTTGATACCCCCGAATTTCGCCAAAACCTTTGTTATACTCCCAATTTGAAAAGGAACTCCAAGTGGATTATAAAATCGGCCTTACTGAATAATATTCAAAATAAGTCCATACTTTATGAATATTTTTTCGAGTGCATCACTCCTGTCCCCGCCCGAGTGTCTCCTTTTTCCCCCCAGGACTTTCCCAGCCAGGCTTCCGTCGCTTCCGTTAGTTAATCGCATTTCGCTTGTTAGTTGTTGCATTGTTGAGCAAATCGCTCCGGTCGGATGTTTGTCGAGTATTGGATGAACCCGCCGGGATAGAGTTACCAAACTAGAGGCCACTGGTCAGGACGTCCTGGCTCGGATGGGGCAATCAGTGGTAATTGGCACTGGAGGGCCAAAATCTCCAACCCGCTCGAATATCGCAACATAATTGCCAGCGACTCTGTTATTTAAGCCGCTTATATCCCATCCTCCGCAATTGGGCTTTTAAGTAATTCAACAGAGAGTGAAATGCGGTCAACACTTAAAATTCCTCAACTTATTTGGCTTATTCGTCAGTCTATTGTGACTTCATGAGCCCAGATGGGAGATTAATCTTTGATGAAGATTGATAGCAATCGCCAGCCAGTCGCTGGAGAGGCATTTCCCTTGAAAGGGGCAGAATATAAAATAGAGCAAAATAAAATAAAATGAAAAATACTTACACACATATAATAAAAAGGGAACTTCTCGATGACGCAGCAGATGTTGCAGATACAGCAGATGTGGGGCAGGGCCTCCGCTCCCCCTCCCAATCCTCTCAAGCTGGCAATCCGCACCACCGCCACTCGAGGGAAGCAACACTTGACTTTTGTGTCAAGCGGCGAGGCATCGACGCCCACCGAGGATCTGCCTTGAATTGCGGATGCTGAATGAAAGGCCTCTAGTCCGAAGAACAAGCAGCACTAAAATTTGGCACGATGATGTCTTATTTTTATTGCCCTTAGTAGGGGAATAAAAGGGATTCCCAAATACTTATGCACAGGGAAAAATATAGGATGAACTACTACAATGGATATATACTTTAATTATGAGTAAGGTTTTTTATTAGCGGAAAGATATAAAACAGTGGTCGCTAGCAAAACAGAGCAACGGCCGCGGATACAAATTTCTCTGCTGCCTCTGCAATCAATGAGTACGGATAGCGGCATTATTCTTATAATTAAAATATAGGTTTGTCGATTTTGTCCATTCCCCTCATTCTTTAAACACTCTCCTGAGTCTGTACAACTTTTTGAAAGCCAGTAAAAATGTTATTAAGGCCTTAAACATTTGTTTAATTTTTTTTTGACTGGAAAATTAAACATTCTCCGAAAGTACTCACCTTTATATGTATTTTCCCAACTCACTGCAAACAATCGGCAATCAATTACAGGCTGGGACGATTGGAGCGACTTCACCCTGTGCAGTGTGACCTGTGGTCAGGGGGTGCAGCAGCGCTTCCGGCGCTGCCTGCTGGACAATCCGCTGGTGGACATGAACATGAACATAAACCTGGAGGACGACGACGAGGATGATGCGGAGGATGCGGACGACGAGGCCGCCGTTGAGCTGACCGTGTCCAAGGAGGCGGACACTTTCAGCGATGGCAATAACGATCTGCTGGCAGATGATGAGGATGAGAACGACCTGCTCATAATGCGGGCAAGTGGCGACGAGTCATTGCATAAATTTGACCAAGCTACGACGATAATGCCGCAGACCAGAGTCCGTGCCCATTCCCATCTCAACTCGAGTCCGAATCCCAGTCCCCCGGGAGAAACAAGCGGCGGTAATGAACCACCATCAGATGGAGAAGGTGAGGGAGGAGCAGGAGGTGTGGCCAACGAGGGTGTCAGTTTGTGCCGAGTGCACACAGTGACCGGGATGGGAACCGAGTTGCAGTTGGAGCAGGAGGAGTCACCTCCAGAGTTGGCACCAGGAAGGCACGTGCCAGCAGTCAGCACAAAAAACACAGGCCTGCCAAAAGCGTGGCCCTTTCCACACTCCTTTGCGAGGGATACAACATCGAGCAGCGCAACTGCAACATCTTCGAGTGCAGTGGTGAGTTTATCCATCAATTATCTTTAAATTCTATACTCCCGAGAATTAAAAAAATTAAAAAATAAAAAGTTATCATTTGAAAAATTCGAATCTCCATTTTTTTGAGAAGAAACGTTCTTAAAATCAAGACGAAAGTACTCTCGAATTTTTTTTTCAAGAAGAATCGATTTTGTTTTTGTTTTGAGAACAAGATTACTTGAAATTGACTCACTTTGAGATCGAGAGAAAGGTTTTGAGAACTTTTTTATAAAAAATTGATCATATTACAGATGATATAAGTGATCTGCTAAAGTTCTACAAGAAGCTGCCGATGGGTGAGGAGCTGCCCACCCAGTCCTCGGATGCTTCCTTCGCCTCCTCCTACCCGGATCCGTATTCAAATGCGGATATCACCACGGTGGGATTGATGGGCACTGCCTTTAGTCCCACACCCTCGACGCCCTACAACATGGGCTACATAAGGAGCTGGCGGAATCTGCTCAACTTCACGCTAATGGTCACACTGAGGTCAAAGGTGGGGGCTCCTTAAGTGCTCTTTATGGAATGAGAATCAAATTTTCTTGATATTACAGAACGATACCAAGAGCACGGCGACCATATTCTCCATTCGCAACGCCACCCACAATCTTTATCTGGAGGCCTGCAAGGACGGACTGCGTCTGTATCTCGAGCGGGACAATGCGACGGAAATGTTGCCGGTGAAATTCAATTTATACGATTATCGCTGGCACCAAGTGGCCATCAGGTGAGGAAGTGTGCGTGTGTTTTTGGGGTGGTTCGGAAGGTGGGTGAAAGTGGGATGTGATGAGTGGCAGTGCCTTTCCCCATGTGCTGTCATGATTGGCAATCACTGCCTCTGTGTGGGCCAATGGCACTCACTTCGATCTGATGGCCATCGTCGTTGACACTTTCGTTTATTTGCATTTTCAATTTATTAGCATAAATGTTTGTGCCATGAAACGCACACTGGCAAACACTTGACACACATGCAAATAGTAGGCCAGGACACAGTGGCGGTGGAAAAAATATAACCCGAGTTTTTATTTTTTCATTTTTTAAGTTTTTGTTTTAGTGAATCAAGAACCTATATATTTTTCCTTAAAGAATTTGGTTTTTGTTTTTCCCAATTATTTTAAAATTTTGTATGCTTTCCAATTTGCCTAATTTTACACTCCTTGTAAAAAACGAAAAAAATCACAGTTCTTAAAAAATAAAAAAACACAAATGATTATTTCATGTATTGTGTAATAAGTATACTCGTTTATTTTAGTTTTTTTTTTTAAGAATTATTAAAAAGAGATTAATTAATATGTATAGGTCCTACAAAATGCTGAAAAAATCGTGAAAAACATCATTTATAATGAAGAGCTCTTCCAATTGAACCTACCTTGCTATTTTGTTGACCACTGCTGTATACAGACTGCCTGAACATGAATATCGAAGTCCCTTTTTTTGGTTTCTGCTTTTTGCTGGCTACAACGACACACAGCCAAATTGACACTCGGTTCAAGTGGGCACCATTTGTCATCGACCGTCGGCACATTTCTCACTGTCACTGTATGCGTGTGTTTGTGGGGGGAGGGGGCTTTGATACATACTAACAATGCAGCAATATGTATCCACATATATAGTTTAATTATTTGCGAATAGCTCACTTTACCATTATTATTTTGCTGTTGTTTTCCATTCGCCGTGCAGCATACAGAATGGCGATTTCATATCGATTTACGTCGACTGTGCGTGGACAAACAGTTTTGTTGTCTCCAAGCGACTTTTCACGTTGCCCGTGGACGCGGATGTGGAAATTGGACGCGGCTTTAATGTGAGTATAGACACTACATCATTTTTCCCGGGGGAAGCATATTTTTTCATTGTTCCTGACTCGTTACTTTGACACACAATGAAAGAACTTTACCATGCCATTTCCATGAGTGCCTCTAAGGATTGGTGACTCTGTTTTAATTGGTTATTGAAAATATTGAAAGGTTTTGTAATTTAAAAAATTGTTTGCAAGTGTTTTTATTTCTACCAGAAAATAATATAAAATCAATCAATGAATATCGTAGAAATTATATTATTTAGAATATATGAAATTTTATTTTAATCATTTTACCAAGTTTTTTTAAGGATGTTATTTTAAAAATACCATAACATAAGTAAAATATCACTGCTATCTTTCATAACACATTTATGACAGCCGCTTATATGTTTATTTAATATTTATTTTCCGAAAACTAATAAGAGAAAGCGTATAGCTGTATTTCCCTGGTCTCAAATGCATTCAATAAAAACCAAAAAACCAATAAATGTAAACAAATTGACGCTCTTGGCGTATTTATTGCTCGGCCTGCGTGGCGTTGATAGCGCATACGCCCCGTTGGCCGTTGACAATGCAAATGAAACAATTATGGACAAGCAATTATGTACTTTCTGCGCATTAACTTTCGCTTTTTCCCATCGCAGGGGGAGCTGCAGCAACTGCTCGTCCTGCCGGAGAACCAGGAGAAGCTGCAGTGCAGCAACAAGCGCACCTCCATCAACGAGGTGAAGCGCTACATCATCGACACTTTCATCGAGGACTACAATGGCAACTGAGAACTGGGATAAATCGAATCCCAATTGACCGAAAGCCACTGAATATGAGTGTGCATGCAAACAAAATATGCGATATGCGTATATTATATTGCCGCAAATCCACACAAAATCCGTTTACAAATTCGGCAAATCAAAACTGCATAGATTTATGATTATTCATTTCATTTGCATATATCTATACATTTAAGGGCAAAAAAGTATGTGCAACTATACATACTAATATAACGCATACGCCATGTGATTTATGCGCTAGCAAACAGCGCACTCCACTCCACACACAGCCCATATAAAGTCGGTAGGATTCGATTACGGCCACATTATGGAAGAATATTTGTAATAATTAAGCTAATTTGACGTAATACAATAATTGTAAACGCAGAAATTAATACCATTTGCATAGCGCCAGGCAAATGCAAAAAAAGAGAACAGAAAGATCAAATATAACGAAACTATGTATATGGTAAAGAGGAGAGGTGTTTTTTATGACGGTTGGTTAAACATACATATCACACACATGGGTTTTTGGGCTTGAGTAAGCAAATTTTGAATATGCAAATGAGATGTGAAGTATTGTTTGGTCAGCGAGGTTCTGGAAAGTTGACCCAACGGGGCAGTCGTTTTCTGCCAATTGTGGTTTCTCTGCACTTGAGTGCGCATCACTAATTTGACAAAGGATCAACTTGTACATTTTGCTCTGGCGCGTCAAGTGTTTCCAGCCAAACTGAAGGATAATCCCCGAACAGATCCCCTGGCACTGGGGAGAGCATTTGCTTATATAGACAGCTGAAACTGCAGCGACACTTGAATAAAGTTCCCTGAAACGAGGCAAAACAGCAGCAGCCGCAACTAAATTCATAATTTCCCCTTGGCGGAAAAAGACCGACGGCCGGCATCCGTTTATGCGGTTTCCCTCTGTCTCTGGATCGTAAATAACCAGCTCTTCTCTTTTTGCACAACTCCTTCCTCTATTATTTTATACAGGGTACTTTTGGTAAAGTTGTACAATTAACAGCGTGTTCATATCTTAAAACTTTAAAACGGCTTTGAAAAAATATTTTTTATTTTTTTTTAATGTAAAAACATTATGCAGGACATTCTATAAACTTATTAGACGACTAGAAGCAAGCCAGTCTTAGATTTTGACTGATTTAGATTTTACTGTTTTCTTAAATTTATTTTCTTAAACTATGTTCCTTAATTATGCACAAAGTATAAGAAAGTCGAAGCTTTTCCCCCAGAAAATGTTAGTAGCTAGTTAAAAAGCGCAGAAAGGTATGCTATACTTTTTGAAGTATGTATTTTAGCCCCAAGAAATGGTATCTTATGGTCGGACCCTCGACTACATCTTTCCTATTCCCCATCTTTCTCCTGCCCCACGTCATTGGCAATTTCAGGCATTGGGTAAAAATGTTGCCGCGCTCGGCAAGTCGAATGCAGGCGACAGGCGGTGGAGACATTGATGAATTTCCTGTCGCATCCTTGGCGCTCGCTGTCTGGTGGTTCTGGTGCAGGTGGGTCTTATGCTCGAGGACCTCGGAACACGGGAGCCCAGGACACCCGCCGTCAAATAAACCTCCGACTCTGGCAAACAGCAAGCCGTCGCCTATTGTGACTTAATAACTTCTACTCACGTCATCAAGGTGCATTGAACCGTGAAGTGCTGGGGAAAAACAGGAGATGGAGGATGGGCAAGGGGATAACCAGGATAACCTGTGCAAAATATGGGTGGGTACTGCATTGAATTGCGAGTGCAGTGCTATCTCAATTAACTGCGCAAAGATGCATCTGCGTTTTAATTTCGCAACTATAAAAACCATATATGTGGCACATATTCGAGCTGCAAGCAATTAGTTGCAGTTGCAGTTGACTGCGAAAGCGAGCTGCTGGCCAGGTAAATAGAGCACGAACACCCAGTCATTGAGAATTTAATAGTTGTTATCTTTAAAACCAGCCAGGTCTTAAATTCGCAAATTTATACCTTGATGCCAGCGGACATAAATCTCTGCCTGCGAACACATTTTCGCGCAACATGTTGCACTTGATGTGTGTGTGTGGAGTGCAACGCAGTGTCCCAGAAAATGCAAACGTAAATCTTTTGGACCTTTGCTCTTACTACAAAATGTTTAAGCCGAATCGGGGATACTTTGGACCATGGCTTAGCTGGCAATTGGTTTGGAAAGGTAACTACCCTTCGTTAGAGGTATTAAAGTCACTCGGCAAACGCAAGTAATTCGTTTCAAAGTCGTATAAGGGCGAACGAATACGCCAAAGGCATGCGTGTACAAGTGTAATTTTATTTATTTATGGCTGCTTTGGGAGGAGCAACTTCTTCAAGGATTCCGCGTCCTTACATTTCCTTTAAATTGTACGCTTTCTTAGGGGGAAACTTTCATTGGAATCGAAAATTGTCAAAAGTATACAATTTAACTTCTTTATAAACATTTTTAATAGTGAATGAAACTATTTTCTTTTTTTAAGAGTTATATTAAAACACCGTCGTTTGTTTTGCCTTTACATTTGATTTTAAATTTTAAGCTTTCATTTATTAATAACAAAAATTGTTAAGAGAATTGTTAAATTCCATTCCGTTTGACATATTTTCATTGTAATTTAATAAAAAGTTAATTGGGATTATTTTTAAACATTATTTATTATTATTTTTTTCCTTAAATGCTTACTATTAAGCCAATGGTTTTTCATTTCCGCTTAATACAGCATAGCTTTAAAAGTTTGCAACCGGACAGGAATAAAATGGTTGGGTTTTACAATTGGACAATGCATTTCAGACGTGGCATGCAAAGCCATTCAACTTCACCCCCTGGAAACTGGGTGGCCCTGCCACGCCCCCTGTCAATCAGAATCCAGAAACGGGGTTTGACCAAAGGCCATGGCCAGGGGTCCTGGCGAGGATGTGCTCATGGTCTGGCCACAGGATCCGTATAAATGCCTTTATTTGTGTAGGTCAAACAAAATGAACTGTAACAATATTGATACAGCTGGCATCGGAGGTTCGAGCACAAAAGTATTGTGGTACGACTGCGACTTTCCCCACCACACCCCCGATAAGTCTGGCTGCCCGACGTCCTGGCCAGCTTTTTGTTTCCGCAGTTCATCAACTACCAGCCAGCGGCTTCATTAACCTAAGCCACAAAAGTTTACCGAGGGATTAACTTGTCTATTGAATGAAAAATAAGTATTTGGTCGAGGCTGCATGCTTCAGAATGTGGGCATTAAATTAAAATGTATGCTTGCTGCGGTCAAAATAATTGGCTTAAATAGTTGGCACAAATGCTGGAATGCTCTTTAGCTGTATGAAACTATTTCATATGTAAGTTGAAAATAAGTAAAAATAGATGTTTATAAAAGGATCACCAATTTTGGGATTTGTTTTATTGACCAATAATAATGTTCAATTAAATGGTTAAGTATTAAGATGTGTTTGTAAGTAACTGGATAAAATAACAAAATGTAACTTCAAATCATTAATAAATTATATATACATAAACACTTTGCAATTATGAATATTATAAGTTGTTATATTTTTAATAGAAACATGGAACATTTTTGCTAAATTATCATTTCAAAACATAATTATATAAACAAAACAAATCTTACGATAGTATTTAAATGACATGTTCTCATAACCGTAATGCATAAGCATTGATTTACCTTAACTTCAAAATAATCAACTGATCTTATCAGTAGCTTGAAATTGGCGCCACATCGCACGGCCTAGTCCATCCCTAAGGGACTGCCAACTTGCGGATAGTGTGACCAGAGTCCACATTTCTAACGAACTTTCAAAATATTCAAAAAGGCAAACTGTCCAGCGTATTCTTTCAAGTTTTTATGAATTTGGTTCAAATCTACGGCACGGGCTGCCGCACAATGACACCGCCGAGCGGTCCCGGGGCCGCCTTCAACTGGATGCGGCGCTCCTCCTGCCAGGGATTCGGTTTGATCCGAATCACGCGAGTTGGCAGGCCGGCGCACCAGCACCCGCACACCACCCACCCCACCGCCCACCGCCTCCTCTGCACGAAAACAACAATCGGATTCCGGCAGCAAATGGACCACACAATACCGCCCAAGGAGTTCAAATGGACGCCGGGCAACCTGATCAACGAGAACTTCAAGTTGGGCGACCATGGCCATGTTTGCGTGGTGCTCAACCGCCAGATTCAGGTGCCGGCGCACGTGGTGAAGCTGCTGTGGCGGAATGGTAAGTTAGGAGCTGTTATAAAACAAATCCCGGCAAGGTCTAGGCTCAACACCCACCAACCCTCAATCTCTTTCAGCCGCCGTGCGCTGTGCCGTCGATGGAGGCTCCAACCACTGGCGTGACTTTGTCGTAAGTCAGGCAATGTCAAAGAAGTCGAATGGCGCCACCACACCACTCGAACCGCTCGACGTGATAACAGGGGACTTTGACTCGATCACCGAGGACACGGTGGATTTCTTCAAGACCACCCCGAAGGTCCACACACCCGATCAAGATGCCACGGATTTCACCAAGGCCATCGCCGTCCTGCAGCCCGTGATGGCGCAGCGCAAGATCCGGGATGTTGTGGTGTTCCATGACACCTCCGGTCGGCTGGACCAGGTGATGGCCAACCTGAACACACTGTACAAATCGCAGAAGGACAACTGCAATGTCTTCCTCCTGAGCGGGGATTCGGTGACGTGGTTGCTGCGACCAGGAAAACACACGATACAGGTGCCCGTCGACCTGGTCACCACTCAGCGGTGGTGCTCCCTGATGCCTTGGGCTCGCGGCGCACAATGTCACCACCACGGGTCTCAAGTGGAATCTATGTAAGAACATAAAATCATCCTGACCATTTAGTCTTATACAAATTCGTCCCTAGATCACGCACAAATGGAGTTCGGTGGAATGGTGAGCACATCCAACACCTATGCCACTGAGTTCGTCCAGGTGGAGACGGACGCCAACCTTATCTGGTCCATGGGTGCCTACGACTTTGAGGATAAGGTGCGACAGACCGCCAAGACATGAGAACTAGTAGAGACGCTAATGGAGGTTACTAAGTACTTAAGTAAGGATTAGGTTACACCAATGTACAGTGTTGAGGGCCAAAGCTGCATCACTTTTTGTTTGTGGGGGGCTATTATTATATTACTGTTATTGTTTAACAAAATGAAAGTTTATGTGAAAATTCGTAATACTAAGCTCTTAATTCTACTAATTGAACTTAAAAAACTTGGATTGAGCTTAAGAACAAAGGAGGTTTAACGAAATATAAATAGATGATGCTTACTCAGAGAACTCTAATGTCGTTAACAAGCCATAATAATATAGGTGATCCAATAATCTAAGGTTATTTTGATCCTGGCAGTGGCATTAAATCAAAGCCGAAGCTATTTCCTGTTCTCTTGGATTTCCAACCAGATGAAGTGGAAGCAGTGCTTTCCGCTCGCTTGGCTCCCGCCTTGCCACCTCGACCCCTGGCTGATGTGGTTTTCCTGGCCGACGGCGATGTTGTGTTCGCTTTGTACCTCTTGCTGGCTGCCGCCTTGTAGATCTTTTTACGCTTGCCCGCTCGGAAGGAGTTGAAACCGCTGCCACCGCTCGTGTTGGCACCGCCTTGCGATGACACCGCCCTGTCCCAGTCCACACTGTCGTTGTTCCAGCCCGAGGTGCTGGTCCTCTGGTCCGAGGTGCTGGGCTCCGCTTGGCGGCCGCCTCCTCCTCCTCGTCTATTAGGGCCTGCATCAACAGCTTCTCGGAGGCATATTGGCTGGTAATCTGCAGCAGCCTGGCGCCGTATTTATCGTAGTTCGCCTTGGTAACGTGCGGAATGCTGCACATATCCTTCTCGGTAAGGGGCAGTGTTTCGGCCATGGCCTTCAAGGCCTGAATATTCATGATACTGGCCATGGTGACGTTCCGCTGGCCGGCAATGGATCGGCACAAATCCAGTAGATCCGTGTAGCAGCGCTCGTGAATCTCCCGCATTTCAGACTTTCCATCAGCACTACTGCTCGCTGGGCCATCGGATACGGTGGCCACTGATGCCTTGGCTTCCTTGGAATTTTTGGTCACGGCAAACTCGAAGGAGGGCGTGCCCTCCATTAGTTTACTAATGTTATTGCCCAGATACAAATAGGCCTGAGGGAAATCGTTCGTAAATATTAGATCCTCTCTTAGGAAGCCATCGATGACCATTTTGCGCAGGAGCCTATGAACGTCGTTCTTATCCCAGTCCTTCAAGGCTCCATGATGGGGTGACTTGTGGTGATTAAAGTCAATGATCTTCTTGATCTTGGAACCCTTAAGGACGTCGGCTATGTGCAAAAGTGTAAAGCGGGATCGGCCGCTGCACAGATCCTTGACAGCTCGCGCCGCCTTGCGGGCATGCTCCAAGGCGTCTAGCGCCCGATAGGCTCGTTTGTTGAGGCAATTGTCGCAGGCGGTCTGTCTGTTCTCCAGGCACTGCTCGCTGGTAAAGTGCTCCCCGAAATAGTCCAACTGCTGGGCACGCCGACAATCCGTGAGATTCTCGCAGTATCCCACAATGCGATATAGATTGTCCACATGTATCTTCTTCACATTGTACTGGAGAGCTCTGTCGGCTAAAGTGGAATGATAGGATTCAATATATTAAAATGCTTTATATCTTGTCCACTTACCGTCCAGCATCTTCTTGATCCGGAGCATGTCCGAATAGTTGTAGTACAAGATGCAGTCGGCCATTTCTCCGTCTCGTCCCGCGCGACCTGCCTCCTGGTAGTAACCCTCGATAGACTTGGGCAGAGAATAGTGCAAAACGAACCGCACATCTGGCTTGTCGATGCCCATGCCAAAGGCGATGGTAGCGCAAATAACCTTGACCTTTCCGGTCAGCCAATCCTTTTGTCGGGACTCCCGCTCGTTGTCAGTGAGACCCGCATGATAGCCACCGCCCGGACGCCATCCTTGCACATCTTCTTGGCCGTCTCGTCGCACTCCTTACGGGAAAGGCAGTAAATTATGCCGCTGGAGTGCGCCGGCTTGGTGCGAATGTAACCACTAATATCCTCCAATGTGGAGACGCCCTTCTTGGGCAACACTCTGTACCGCAAATTACTCCGGTTGAAGCTGGACAAGAACCACTTGCAGTTCTTTAGATTTAGCTGTGCCAGAATGTCTAAACGAACGCGCGGAGTGGCGGTGGCTGTTAAGGCAATCGTTGGAACGTTGGGGAACGCTTCTTCAGGACTCCAAGTTTCTTGTAGTCCGGCCGGAAGTCATGACCCCACTGGGAAACACAATGCGCCTCGTCTATAACGAATCGACTTATGTAGTTGTTCGAATTCAGGGTGTCTAGCGTGTCCTGGAAGCGGGTGGAGCTGCTGATCTTCTCGGGAGTCACGTAGAGCAGTTTGACCATAGGTGGTTGACACTCTAAGTCATTGTAGATGGCCATCACATCGGCCATTTTTTGTTCCCCACTCAGACTCTTCGCACAGATCTGAAAAAATATGCAATAATATAAGCTTTATCTCTATTATTTTTTGGGATTCCAGTACTCACATCGAGAGAAGCCAGTTTGTTGATTTGATCAAAGATCAACGACTTCAGCGGACTAACGACAATGGTAACTCCCTCGGTCAGGATAGCAGGCAGCTGATAGCACAGCGACTTTCCTCCTCCCGTTGGCATCAGGACAAAGCAATCATTGCCCAAAAGGGTGGCGTTGATCACCTGCAGCTGATTGGGTCTGAAACTCTTTAGACCGAAGCTGTAGCTCAGGCCATGCATGAGGCGGGTGGAGTGCTCAACTTCTGGCCATCGAACTCTCCTGTGATACCATCGTTGTGCACGTTGGAGTGGAAATTGCCGGACAGCTTCTGGGAATCTGGGGCACTAGAGAGCTTGGCCGGCACAACGCTTTTACTGCTGCTGGGGCCGTCCCTTCGACTGGTGTTTTTTATTGGCAGCCTGGGAGTGCATTTGCTCGAACATTTCCTCATCGTATTCGGGAAAGCCATCGTCATCCAAGGTAATATTCGCTGGTATCTCCTTTGGCTTCTCCTTCACCTTAACTGCCTCCAATCTTTGTAGCTGTAGCCATTGAACTCTGACCTGCGGCCCTGCATCTGCTGGTGTTCGTTCTCGATGTCCGCCAGCAGACCCTCCAAGTCATCATCGTCATCATCCACCTCGCTGGCTGCGGTCCGCTGTGTAAGCCCGTGCATCTGCTCCTCCTCTAGGTCGCCGTCCAGCATAATGCTCTGGGCCAAGTAGTCATCCGGCTCCTCGCACAAATCGTGAACAAGTTCCTCACACTTTCGCAACAGATGCGGATCTTTCTGCTTTGGGGGCGGCGTGAAATCGTCTGGCTCCCCGCAAAGATCGTGAATGAGCTGTTGGCGCTTGGGTATTGAAGGGGAATCGATCGACTCGCTTGGCGGAAAATCATCCGGTTCCCCGCAAAGTTCGTGGAGGAGTTGCTGGCGTCTGGACATCGGAGGGGGAGGATCGTTCGGCTTCTGTTTCTTGCTCTCCGAGGGTTTATTAAGGGTTAAGGCGCGAAGACCACTCTCTGGCGGGGATGATATTGGTTTGCTCGTTGAGCTTGAACCCATAAACAGAATCTGTTCCTCCTGCATTTCCCTTTCCTCCTGCATTTCCCTTTCCTCCTGCTCCAGGGCTTCTTGCTCGGCCTTTAGCTTGCTTTCATTCTTATCCAGATGTTTCTGGAGTAGCTGCGTCCGTGCCTTGAACTTTTGTCGCATTACCTTGAGCTTGAGGAAAGTATTCGGCTGAAAGCCAGCGATTTCATTGAAGTGCATGGCGGGAATCTGGTCAATCAGAGAACAGTACTTTTCCATTAGCTCGATGTAAGTGGTGCGAAAGAAGCCCAGGGAACTTTTCTGCGCCTCAACGCTTTGTTTAGTGGGATCGATGCTGAAATTGTCGTTCTGGGCCAAATCCTTTAGGTAATCAGCCAGAGAATTATCAAAAGTCACACTGAGTCGGGGCTTCAGGGCGCCGCCGGAGGTGGTGAAGGGTTGTGGATGTTCCTCTCCATGGCTACAGTCGTAGGTTTAGTTGGAATGGCATTTTCTTTAGCCGAACCTAGTTTGTACCCTGATGGCCCACTTCCACTTTTCTCAGGGGAGTCCTCGAAGAGATTTTTACTACTGCCTGTGTTTTTGTAGGAACTTAAAGCTCGCGGTGATTCGAGGAAAGTGGAAAGGGCCGGCTTTCTCTCAGTCTTCTTAGGAGAATCCTCAATAATTATTCTATCCTGGGAAGGCTTTCTTTCTGGTTTCTTTGGGAATGCTTTTTCCGATTTCTTAGCATCCTGTGGAGGAGGAGGTGAATCAGGCAGCGTGAGTAATGGGTGCCTCCCTCCATTCTGATTGATTGGAGAGTCCTCAAAGGAATACTTCTGAAGAGGGGAGTCCGTGGGCTTCCTCTCATTCTGGGACAGTTTCTTTGGAGAATACGCAAAAAGATTTAGCTCCGATTTCATCACAGGCTTTGCAGCCGCTAGAGAATCCGATAGTGAAAAGGGTGCTTTTTTCCTTTCATTGTTTGGCTGTTTCTTTAAGTAATCCCCAAGTGTGGTATTTTCTGGGGGAGATTCAGACAAGCCCCGGTAGGAATGACTGCTCTCACTCTTTGTCGGCTTGTCAGGCGAATCTTCGTAAGGTTTCTTGTCAGGAAGAGGAGCGAATGGCGATTCGGAAAGGTCGAAATATGTGACCCTTTTTAAGGACTTGCTGGGTTGGCTGGATTTCTTGGAGGAGACAGTATCCTTGCTGGACTGACTAGACCTCTGAGTTGAATCCTCATCGGAGGACGAGGTGTCCAGAAAGATGGGATTGTAGATTGTAGTGTTGCCCCTGACATTTGTCACTAAAATTAAGAACTATTAGTTTCCATATTTCCTCAGAAATACGCTAAATACCTTTGCTCTTTGGCTGACTCTGGGAATTACTATCCAGGCCAATGAAGCTGCTGAGTGTGAGCTGTTTTCTGGGCGCTACGGGCTTCTTGGACATGGCGACCTGCGGTTCATGCAACTGCCAGCGCCTAACTTTGCAAACAACTAGTTAATAATTTAGTAAACAAAACAATTTAATACAGTTTGAGACTAAAAACCCGCGCAATTATGCCAATGGAAACAAATGTGAATAGGAATCAGTGTGACCGTACTATGGCCCTTGCAAATATACCAAATCTTATGGGAGCGTTCACCAGAACAAAGTGATCAGTGAGCAGTGACTGTTGACTTTCTTACGATAATGTGATCAACATCAACTAAAATTTAATGGAGATTTTTTTAAGAAAAAACAACTACCTATAAATATACTGATAAACATACTTTTAAAAGATTATATATTAGTGTTATAAAAGTAAGCTACACCAAATCCCGTATAGCTATAGCTAGAAAGTAGCCAAATCGCTATCACCCGAGAACAGCTGTAAAGCGACATGCTTTCTGCTTCCTCTTGTTCCCGTGGTATCCAAACAATTTCCAAACGTGGGTAGATAGAAGCGCATATTTCCAAAGTTCGGACAGAGAAAATTATGCATACGTGAGTATACTATCATCCCCTGCATCAACATCAAACCAGGACCATAATCTCCTTCGGGATTTCCCGCTCGCAGGCATAACAACTTCAAGACCCCCTCCGACGATGACGAACTGGACGTTCTGGACGAGGACATGGTGGTGGGCGTCATCGCGGAGATCGAGCAGGAGGTGCTGAACGAGTCGGACAGCGACAACGACGAGTACGACCTAGTGGATATGGGTGCTCCGGTGCCGCCGAATGATGGCGACAGCAGCTACGATGGCAACGAGAGCATCAGCAGCGACGACAGCTTCGATCCGAATGCAGCGGACTCCGACTCGGATGATTCGATGCCGGAGAAGGCCGCTGGTGGATCCGCTGGGGGAGCAACAAGTGCGAAGCGGCGAAAGGATGACGATGGTCCGTCGGGCAGCAACCGGGAATCGGAGGCCGCCTTCGACCTGGACGAAGATGATGAAACGGACGAGACTGTGCGTGCCATCATCGCCGCCATAAAGAAACCACGCAGTGCGCCGCCAGAGATCAAGCTGGAGGACTTCATCACGGACATCTGCTTCCATCCGGATCGCGATATTATTGCCCTGGCCACCATCATCGGGGATGTGCACCTGTACGAGTACGCAAACGAGGAGAACAAGCTGCTGCGCACCATTGAGATTCATTCCAAGGCCTGCCGCGACGTGGAGTTCACCGAAGATGGGCGCTTCTTACTCACCTGCTCCAAGGACAAGTGCGTGATGGTCACCGACATGGAGACGGAGAAGCTGAAGAAGCTCTACGAGACAGCCCACGATGATGCCATCAATACGATGCACGTGCTCAACGAAAATCTCTTTGCCACCGGCGATGACTCAGGCACAGTCAAGCTGTGGGATTTGCGCACCAAGAACTCCATCTTCGAGCTCAAGGAGCTGGAGGATCAGATCACCCAGCTGACAACGAACGACCAGAGCAAGCTTCTACTGGCCACCAGTGCCGATGGCTACCTGACTACGTTTAACATCGCCGCACGAAAGATGTACGTGCAATCGGAGCCGTACGAGGAGGAGCTGAGCTGCATGGGCATCTATCGCGGGGACTCCAAGCTGGTGGTGGGCACCTCCAAGGGACGACTTTATACCTACAACTGGGGCCAGTTTGGCTACCACTGCGACATGTATCCGGGCATCAAGAGCCCCATTAGCCTGATGATTCCCATCACGGACAGAATTGCCTGCGTGGCCGGGGAGGATGGAAACATTCGTGCTTGTCACATCGCTCCATACCGCAATCTCGGCGTGGTGGGGCAGCACAACATGCCCATCGAGTCGCTGGACGTGAACACCAATGGTGAGCTGCTCGCCTCCTCCTCGCACAACAACGACGTGCGGTTCTGGAACGTTAAGTATTTCGAGGACTTTGGGGACATCAAGTACAACGACAAGCACAATGCGTACAAGGAGAAGCGTCACAATCTGCCCTCCTCCAAGGTAACCAACGCCTCGGACTTTTTCGCTGACCTGACCAAAGAGGATGCGGATGATGATGATCCGAGCGCAGGACCCAGTAACACAGCCTAGAGTGGAAATTATGCTAGCAAGGATTTTTAGCTGTACTCGCTGGGTGGGTCGATTTGAAAGGATACAAGTTTAAGGACAATTCTTACCTGTTGGCATAGTTTAAAGAAATAACTTATAACCTAATCTCTTTTTAAACCAGCGCTCGACACGGAATACAAAGACATTTTGTCTTTTATTTGTGTGGGTAATTTGAACGGTGTACGCTGTATGTGTCCCGGCAGAGGCTAAGCAGAGCTATTTCCTATGCCCGCTAATGGGACGCTGCCGATCGCTGGTTTAAAGTAACTTTGTTTTAAAAAACTCCTGTTTAAATATTTATGCAGTAGAACATTGCTTCTTAGCAAATAGATAAACCAATTTTTTAGAAATATGTTTACAGAATACATATTTTGCCATACCATTTGTGTGTACAAAAAATTGACCCATCCATTCATCATAGTAGAGTGTTGAATTAAGAAAACCTCTTTTAAACCCGTCTAAATGTAGAAACCAATCTTTAATACGTTGCACGAAAGATTGTACACAAAGTAGCGTATTTAAATTTCGTATTAAACTGTTAATGATTATTAAATAAAGTCACAGAATAGAACTGATTAAAGAAAGAATAAAACATCCCAAATAAGATATAATAGCCTTTTCATATAGGGGCATTACAAAAACCAGTTAAATATTTATATAATTCGATTATTTATTTATTTCTGCCGTCTTGGACAACATACAATTTTGAAAGTTTTAAAAAACTTTAATAATAACATAAAACCAACTTACATTAGAGATATTAGACAATAGTTAGCTCAAGCTTTTAAAAATTGCATCGAATCAATTCACTTATATGGCACGTTATGAGATATTGAGCAGTAGTCGGTTAAAAATAAAATGAATATGTATAATTTGGTAGTAGAATGAAATAAAATCCTACTTTAAATTTGTTGTGACACATAAAACATAACAAGTAATTGGAAAATAATTAGGGAATAGTTCAAAATTATTCTGGCTAATAAATATTAATATGAATTGCCGATTAGATGTATAATTTGGGTCCGATATTATGTGGTAATTTTAGGGACAATTAAAAATATAACAACAAGCTTGGGCCAAAAAGATCATTTACGCCCTTTGTGGGAATTCTATACTATAACAATAAGACGCATATTTATGAAATTCTTATCACAAGAATTTTGTTTCACAAAACGTGGACAATTTGTACATATGTATAGGAAATAATTTGCCGAATCACTTAAGATACTTAGACATAGACATTGAGCCAAACAGAGTTAGCTTTTTTGATATTTTTTCAGCGCAACACGGCAGCAAGCTCCGGCAACTGCCCATTTCATGCGTTGCGGTGGGTTAAACATTATAAGGTATGTATATTGGGTATTACGATTATTTCTTTCTTTGTTCTTACATCGATGCCTGCCGCGACAAACTCAGTCTAGGGGGATTACATGAAGATTCCGTGCACACAATGTCATAAGGCGGCGGTGTTGGCGGCATCTGTCACCCCAGTGGAGCTGGGTGCCATGGCATCGTTGGCCATGTGGGTTTCGATGTCGACGCGACAGATGGGGCAGTGCTTGTTGGTGACCAGCCACTGATCCACGCAGTCCGTGTGGAAGAGGTGCATGCATGGCAGGCGGCTGTAATGGTAAAATTTCCATTAAAATCTGAGGAAATCATAGATAAATTCCGAATTGAACCTACCGCACTTCGTTCTCGATCTCAAAGAGCGTCAGACAAATGGCACACTTCTCCGCATCTTCGTCCGTCTCGCTGGGTCTCCTGACACGTCGATATTTGTGGGGCAAGGTGTTCCTCTCGATGGTTTCCTAAAATAATGATTAAAGAGCGTAAATAATCTAGGTAAAGCTGTGATTGCCTTATGCTCTTACCAAAGTAGCTCCCCGGTTGGGACGAGGTGGTCCGATTAGGATGCGGGAGCCCAGGGAGAGCGGCGTGGCCAGCCCGATCTCCAGATGCAGCGGCGAGTAGTGGTGGTGGAACATGTGGTGGTGGATAGCCCGCTGACGCTGCAGGTGATGCAGAACCGGCGGCGATTGCTGACCCTGTGGTTGCTGTTGATGGAGCTGCATGTTTCTCGTACCCGGTGGTGGTGCTCCGTTACTACCAGCAGCGCCGGATGTGGCTGGTGCCTGCTGCTGAGGTGGTGGCGGAGCAGCAGCAGACGTTGCAGCATCATACGGCGGATAGTAGGCGGGATCCAGACTGGACACCGGACCATTCCTCGCATGCACACAGCTGCAGATGCTGTGCAGGTACCCGTTTCGCAGCGTGCTCGTCAGGAGCGGAGCATTTGAGGAAAGATCGATGGGCGTGGGCGTCATGTGGCGACGATGCATCTCCTGCATGCTCTGCTGACGGTACCAGAGGTTTTGATGCACTGGATATGGAGGAGCGGGCGTCAGCGAGGTCGCCACAATGGCACTGGCCCGATGAGGCGGATGAATATGAGCATGCATCTGGTTCTGAGGCGCCTGGTGGCCTTGATGAGGCTGCGGTTGATAGTGCTGTCGGTTGCTGTAGGCGGCCTCCGAGCGTCGCACACTGAACGGCGGAGATCCGCAGTGCGGAATGGTGCTCCGACCAGAGTACATTTCCAACGGTGGTGGCGGGGAGACAGGTGTCCCCAGGTTGCCATTCGATGCTGCTCCCGGCGCAGGCGGATTGATGGTTTGCCGCTGGTGCTGCTGTGGGTGCACCATGACATGCGGAGGCGTCCGGTTGCCTTCCATACTGGCCTCCAATGCCGCTGCCCTCCCTTCGTTATGCGCCTGTGATAGCAGATCACTGAACGTTTGCGCCTGGGCCGCAGCCGCCGTGGCTGCCACCGCAGCAGCATTCAAAGCTCCACTCAACGAACTCCGACTGCTCCCGCCTTGACCGCCCTGAAAGTGAGGATGTGGCTGAAGACTGGGCGAGTAGTCGGCCTCCATCACAGTAGGCAGCGTTGTGATCGCATAGTGGGGCAGATAGTATGGATGGTAGCGGTGATACACGTTCGCTGGACTGCTGCGCCTCCGTCGAGCTTGCTGCGAAGATGTCTGCCCGCTGGCGGAGCTGCTCGGCGTGGAGGTGAGCGTCCTCTGCTGGTGGCGTAAAAATGCGTCAGCGGAAGAGTTATCCGGAAGCAAGATCGGTGGCATTGGCGGAGGAGGCGGTGGAGCCTGTGGATGGCCTTGCATCCACATGGAGGACTCGTTGATCGGAAGGAAGTAGCGCTGCGGATCCATACTGGAACAGCGCGGCGGGTAGAAGTGGCTGGCATTGGGATCCATCAGCTGGTCCAGCTCGTAGCTGTAGTTGTGATCCGAAATGGCAGCCCGATCCGCTAGAGCGCCGCTATAAAATGCGAATGCCGAGGTGCCATCCTGGTTTGCATCCGTCCGACGATCAGTCCGGCGAGCATATGGCAATGTGTAGGCATAGTTAAATACGGGTCTTCTCTCATCACTTTGTTCCTCCGGATTGTGTTGAGCCCCACTCCGGAATCTTTCTCGTTCCCGGTCTCGCTCGCGCTCTCTTTCTCGTCCCCGCTCCCTATCCCTTTGCAATTGAGTATCATTGGCTAGGCCATCGTCATCCGAAGTCAAATCAATCGAGAGAATAGGCTCACGGGTGGAGTGCACAAACACCACATCATCATCATCGTCATCCGATGACCAATCGTCAAGCTGCAAATCGGGAGCAGTCAGCACTACGGCATCCCCACGGTTCTCGTGGCTGCCACGCCTGCCCGTGGAAGTGGACGGAAGATTGCTGAGATCCATGGAGGGCTGCCTCTCCCTCGGTCGGCCGACGTAGGTGATCACACAGGGCCCATTCGCATTTGGCGTCGAAGCCTGTGGAAACGATATGGGATTGTGCTGCTGTCCAGAACTGCTGCCTTGGTGCTCCGCAAAGGTGCGATGCCTGCTCCTTCCCGGATGGAACGAATTGTAATTCGTTGACGACAGTTTGGAGCGCGTCCTCCCAGAGAGTTCCAGGCGCGGCTGCTTCCGGGGTGGCACAGCATCGTCTGCGAGGCGCACACGACTCCATGCCATTCCAGAATCGCCGTGAGCGCCGTACACACTCCGCATGTCTTGGCCAGGCGGCTCCTCAGGGCGCTGTTCCTGTCGATTCTCCTCCTCTGGATGAAGTTGTTGCTGCTGCTGCTGCTCCTGTCCCTGCCCCTGCTCCGATGTTGTGGACGGCGATCCAGCCGCAGACGGCCTCTGGCCGATGTGAGATCCATAATCAACACTGCGCGTGGTATGGGTGGCCGTGGAGCAGTATGCTGCTCGCATATACGTGCTATCTGGTGGAGCTCCGGCCACTGGACGGCGGCTGTTGTAGTAGGTGTGATCCGTGTGCCCAGGCTCCGTCTCAATGGATCGTCTACCACCTCGTATAATCGTCACAGTGGGCTCGATTGGTGGGGCCGGATTGTGAACACGCAGATCCCAACCATCGTCGCTGCTCTCATTCTCCGGCTCTAAGGCTCTGGAGCTGCGGTACGAGAAGTGATTCACCTGCCGCCTCCTCGACTGCGCACTCGTGCTCGGCGTGGCATCGGGATCCACGGCTGCGCTTGAGGAGTTGGAGGCTTCGCTGGAGCGGCTAGCCTTCTTTTTGTGCACCTGCACTGCCGACGTGGTAGTCGTGGTGTTGGTGGTGCGCGTATTGGCGAACTGACCATGCTCCGTGTCCGAGGCACTGGATGTCACATCGTCGTAAGCATTCACGGCACTTGCCGAGGTTTCGAATGAGCTGTTGCTTAGCTGCAGTGAACTGGAGGGCATCTCGTACACCACCGCCGTGGCATCCATGGCATGCTCCTCCATGGCGCCGGCGGGCCAAGTGCCGCTGATGGAGGCCACCACCGCGTCGCCAGCATTGTCACCGTCCTGTTCCATGGTCAGCGGCTCAGTCTTCTTTCGCTTGGGTCGTGGAATGGCATGGTCAGCGGGCGGATTGGCAGCCGCCGCCGCTGCTGTGGAGGAGGAGGGCTGCTCTAGGAACTGTGCCGGATCCTGGGTGGAGTCCGCATATCGACTGCTGGTGCTGGCCACCACCGACGATTCGCAGCGGCAGAGTCCGACCAGCGAACTGCACTTGTCGCACCGCCCAGCCATGGACTCGAATCCCGCGTTGGATTCGCGACGTGGCGTCACCAGGGCGGTGTACGTGGGCGGCGAATGGGTGTGGCTGTGGTTCTGCGGACTGGACAGGAACGGCGTCATCAGCATGTAGCTATCCGAAAGCCCACTATCTCGCTGCTGATTGTAGTACATGGCATACTGGGAATCTGTAAGAGATCCAAGAGGATTAGCAATATCTGGTTCAGAAGCAGGAGCATCTTACGGTTGTCCTGACTGCCCGGACTCGTGGCCACACTGCCGTACGACATGGAGACCCTCGGCTGGTGGCGCACCTCCTCCTGGTCATTCTCCAAGCTATCCATGGCTTTTCAGGCGTCTACAGGCTAACGTCAACGGAACAACAAAGAAATGTAGCCGCGCACATATGCCAAAATGTGCTGAAAATATGTATATATATACGAAAAATGTTTCATTTACGGGTACGTGGTATAACTGTCTAAAGGAGATCAGTTTGCTTTTTGTCCGGAAACAGACACAAAAACAAACAGTGGGTTAAACACTTGGGGTGCAGACTTCTCGTTAGATATGTGGTACATTGGATGGCTCCAAAGTTCACTGTGGTATAATTAAAGTAACTCTCCCAATGGATATATCTTTTGGCTGAGCACAAATCAGATTTAAAGCTCAAATTAAAATTTGAAAACTGAAATTTTTTCCTTGATTGTCAAATACACACTTTGTCAGCACCAATTTTTCGTCAAACTTTTCATTGCCGTTAGCGGAAAATCTTTACGCTTCGTGAGGAAAATACAATAGCCCGTGGAAAAAGTAGAAAATTGGGCTCGGGTTCCAGATACAGGGTGTACGAGATTTTACACGGAAGCTTTAAATAACTTATTAGTTGTCTTATTAATTAAGTTCAGTTTTTTTAGCCAACGCAATAGGGATGAGTGGAGTATCGATATGCCGGCATATCGATAGGTAGTAGTAGCAAACGAATTAATGCGGTTTTTATTTATTTATTTTTTATTTTAAAAAATAGTTTAGTTTTTTATTAATTAGTAGTTTTTGACTCATTTGCTTATAAGTTAGTCAAAATATGAAAAACAGCTGTTTGGCTGGGGGTAAATTAGAAACAGCTGTTCTATGATAACAAAAGCCTCCAAAAATGCTTACCCTTATAATATGTTAAAATATAGTCACTTTTCCTAACAAGCTTTGTCTTCTGATATGCTCGGAATGTTATTCTGTATTCATTAACACAAGATTATAGGGGAATCGGTGCCGGAAACACTTCAGATAAGAAATCGTGGGCGGTGGGGGTGGGCAGGCTAACAGCTGCTTTGGGGGAACAAAAGGGAGCTTAAATGCAATTCTGTTCGCGGGGGCGGAGAGATTTTCTCTTCGCAGCTGCGGCCCCGAAAAATGCACAATTCGAATTTGCAAATATGCGATTGATATAACTTCACGAAGTAATCATTTTGCCACCGTAATTCTGATTTTATAACACTAACAAAACTGAACTGGAAAATCGACAGACAACTTTTTTTCCGACGTTGCAAAAACTTGCAGTTCGGCGATGGAAACGATACTATCGTTTGCAAATTAGCCATTTCGTGCTTTTCAGTTTTGCGCAATGGTCACACTGCCAATTCAAAAGTTTCCGAAAGTGTAGCTTTAAATTTAAATAAAGTATTATAATCACATTTGTCAACCGTATTTTAGAATAATTTAAGGATATAAAAATATGATTGGTATATAAGCCCCTTATAATCCTTAGGTCTAAAAGAGAAAATCATAATATATAATATCATTATAAAATTATTTTTAAACATAGTGCCCATTCCTTTTCTTTTCACTCAAACATGGTGCTAAATCCACGATGCTGGCCCATCAAGGAGAAGACATTCGTCGTCTTCTGCCGCGGAAAACACGAGAGAATGCCAAAGGCAACTAAAAGGCCAACTTCCCAGCTTCAGTACCACAACCAGGACCAAAATCACACGTATTCCTTTTTCCACGTCGAGAATGATACTCGAGCCTTCTTCATCTCGATTGGGAGGAGTCGGCTGTACCACAAGGATTGGTTTCTAGTGGACGAGAGGGGAAAGTTCCTCCAAAACGGAACATCCATCTACGACTACTACACAAAATTCGACTGCGTTTACAAAAGGATTCGGTTTCTAGAAAGACTGCTTAGAGAATGCTTGGATAAGGAAAATAGAACACAAGAGAACTTTACGAACCCCGAGCTGATGGCTATACATTTTCCCGAAACCAAAGCTCCCACCTACACGGTGTCCATAGGCGAGAGTAACCTATGTTTTAACTGGGTACTATGCTTCCTGGGGCTATTGCTTCTGCTTTGCTGCCTGAAATAAACTAATACATATCACAGTCACAACACAAGGTTTAACATTTTATGTATTTTGCGTTTTTATTGAGTTTTTATGTATAAAACAATATCTACTCTTCTTCTTATTGCGGGCTTCTTATTCTTTTCTCTTGGCTTAATGTTCTTCAATTTTGTATAGCAATAATTTTAAAACAAATTGTTTTCATACAAATTTTTATTGATTTTATCGGTCAGCTAATCCAATTACTTGAAGGACTCTCCCCCGGTCTCTCGTTGGTGTTCACTTCTCGAAAGCAGCGCTGACCAGTGTTAACGACTTAAGTGTACCCATTGGTTTAACGGACATTTTCTAAACCAAGGCGGTGTTCTTTTTGTTTGAGTGTAGTTTTATCATATTTTCAGCAGCGCTGCTCGTCAAATTAACTCATAGTTATTATGTTTTTGTTTCGTTGCGAAACATTCCTCACAGTTTTACAAACAAAACGAAAGCGATAGTTTCCACTTCAATATTTCAGTTTCAATGCAACTTTGATTGCTTCTGTAGGAATCGATTGCATGAATAGTTTAAAATTATTTGGACGCTGTCGTTATTATCATTATTAAATGTTCAAAACTTTAACCGAACTCAAAACGCCGACGTTGGCAACATTTTCTCAGCAGCGTTTTGAGCTAAAATAATGAACAATCATATTATATTTTAGCATTTCATCGGTTTTTCGTTTCTTTTTTTGTTTTCGCTTTTATTAAGTTTTTATATATTTTTTGGAAGTTTTTAGTATAAGTTGCTGTTGGTTTGGAAAAATAGAAGTATTGGTGTGTATGCACTTGACATTGATTTCGTGGGACGTAAACAAACAAAGACTGTGGAAAATGTTCCTTCTAGAAGTGGTTGTTGATGGCACAGCGTCATTTGATAGATAGATTTCTTCAGGTGCATTTACATTTACATTTTATATCACAATTTTTTAAATATTATAGGTGTGTATGTATTTAACAAAATTGGTTTGCATGCTTTCCTTTCATTTACGCCCAGCAAAAACTGTTGAGCAACTAGCAATGTCAAGAGTTTGTTAGCATTTTGCCCAGTGTAGTTGGCCATAGTGTGTGTGTTGTGGGTGTTAATGTGGAGGAATTCTCGGGGCTTAAAAAAATATATCTTTCAACAGTTTTGGAAAGAAATAACCGTCAACGGGCAAGTTTTATCCAAGGAACTGACAGATACACAAGTACTAGTCAATTTCTTCGAAATAACTAACCAGCTTTAGTTGTGTTTAAGTGTAAGTTTCGGGTCAAACTAATTGGCGAGACACTCGAAATTTGGACAATTTAATTGATTTTATAAACTCAACTTATCTTCGCTGCCCGCATCTTTTTTTTCTCCTTTCTTATAACAATTTTTGTCATGAGAAATAAAAACATACTATACAAATTTTAACAATTTTCATTTGTTGTACATTTTGGTATTTGGAACGGGCGTTCAAAAATGATCATCAATTTCGACTCAAGAGGCATGCGATTATTTTTATAAAGATTACTTAGGATTCGATCAATTTCACCAAAGAACAGAGAAGTCTAAAGGGTTTTATGCATCTCTTGATCAAACACTTTTCGTATTCGTTTTTATTTTTCACAATAAAAAATTATACTGCAATATAAATTACAATTTTTCGAATCTTTTTTATAAAAAAAGGTATTTGTTTTCTGTTGTTTTCATCTCGAACGACTGTTTGGCTTGCTTCAAAACAGCGTAGACAATTGCCACTCTCTCTTTCCCTTGGTTTCTGTTTTCCTCCTACAATGTTTTATTCACTTTTTTTTTTGTTTTTTTTCGTATGTTAACTCTGTTTGCAATAGGGGGGAATTGATTGAATTTAAATTGTATTCGTACACTTTTGCTTGAAATGTAAGGTGTGCCTAAAATGTTGCACCAAAAAGAATCATAGAACTGGAAAATTGATTTTTAGAGAATGTGCGTGAAAAACAGAGTTATCTGTCCAAAAGCGATCTATCCACTGGCGGTGGCCGGCTCGCAGTACTCGGACAGATCGTTGGCCCGCTGCTGCTGGCGCAGGCGCCGCTGGAGCAGAACGCTCTCGCTGGGCGGCGACAGGCCGATCCGCATGTCCGGCAGCTCCTCCATCAACTGGGCTGCCTGCAAGTGGGCAAAGCGGCCGCTGCCAATGCGAGGCTGCTGCTGGGCCCGCTGAACCGTCGAGCGGTTGTATCGCTGCTGCTGCTGCTCCGACGGCTGGTTCATGCCGTAGCTGCGGGCGTAGACGCAATCCTGGCGCCAGTTGCGGATCGTCAACTGCTCATCGGATGGCGGGGATCCACCGCTGCCACTGCCGCTGCTTCCGGCGCTGTTGTGCCGCGGAGGCGGCTGCTGTGGCGGCTGCATCGGAGCAATCTTATAGCCAGCGGCACCGCCGCTGTGCGAGAAGCTGCCAAGGTAATTGCGCTGCTGGTTGCCATGGTGTCCACCGCCGCCTCCGGTGCTGAAGGGCGGACGGTACTTGCGATAGCCCGCTGCCGGCTGCTGCTCCTGCGAGTGATGAGTGCGATAACGCCAATTCTCCGCCTGCTGCCTCAGAGGAACTGGATCTGCAGGCTGGTAGCGCGGCACAATGTACCGCTGGTGCTGCTGTCGCTGCTTCCTGGTGTAGGCATTGGCAATGGAAGGCAGCGGCTGCTTGCGTTGCTCTTGCAGATCCTCTTCCTCCTCTTCATCATCGTAGTCATCATCCTCGTCGATATCGGCATCCTCGTCGTTCTGATATGCATCGACAGAAAAGTATACATTGCGGCCGGCCTTGCTGTGGTGGCCCGTGGTGGTCTGGGATTGGTTTGGAGGCTTCTGCTCTTGCTCCTCCTCCGCCGCCTTGCCAAAAGTCGTTCGCATTGTTGTCCCCTCAGCAGCAGTCGTCGGATTTATCTCGTTCGAATCATTTTCCTCTGGTTTATCGGTTGGTGGGCATGTTGCTGGTGGTGGTGCTGCTGCTGCTGGTGTCGATGCTGCTGGCACTGCCGCTGAGTTGACAACAATATTTGCAGTCTCATAAATTTCAGGTAGCTTTTCATTTAAATCACTAATACTATCCAATAGTTTAACATCATCATCTTCATTTGCATCCCAAGTTTGCCAGTTGGTAATCTGTGTTGTAGTCATAACTGGTGTTTGCTGCTTGTTATTATCGGTGATGGTAGTAGCACTAATATCACTTGATGGTCCTTGCTTCTTAGCCCCATCAACATCATCCTGCTGCTTCTCCTCCTTCTCCTTCTCCTTCGTCTCCTTGTCCTTCTCCTGCTGCTGCTTAATCTCCTTACCATTCTCGATCTCCTCCTCCTGCGCATCTTTGCGCATTGTGGTGAGCTTAGCAAATTCGCTTTGCTGGGTTGTATCCTCCATATGCATATTATCCATAATAAGTTCATCCTTCTCATACAAACCATTATCATGATGTGGCTTCGATTTCTCCACATTGGTCTCGCCAACTTGCTCTAGGTAAGCTTTCGATAGCTTCAGATTGTCAGCTTGTTGATTTTCCTCCTTCTGCTCCTCCTGGAGCTTCTCCTCCTCGTCCTCCTCTTCCTCGGCTATATCGTCGACGCGTTGCTGCTGCTGCTCATACAGATAGTCATCGCCCTCGTCCTCGTCCAACTCGCGCCAATAATGCTTATAGTGCTGATAGTCCTCGCTCTCTCCGTCCTCCTCCTCTTCCATGTCGTCGCCCTCGCTTCCGCTCTCGCGCCTGTAGTGACCACCCTCGCCCAGCGCCTCCTGCTGCTGCTGCAGCTCGCGCTGCTGCTGGTATTGCCTCGTCGACCTGGCCCACTCGTCATCGTCGTCGTCGATGCGACCAAAAGCCTCCAGAGCTTCATCGTCGTCATCTTCCTCGTGCACGTTGAGTGTCTTAAAGCCCCCGCTGTTGGGGTAAATTGCAGATGCATTGCGAGAGACATTCCGTGAGGACTGACGGCTACTGGCCCGCTGGCCGTGCATCGAGGACATGCGTCCTCCGTAGCCGCACATGGACGTAGCTGGATTGCGCTGCGAGCGATTGCGAGTGTAGTGAGCCGGCGGCTTGGGATTGTAGTTCTCATCGCTGTAGGCATCCATGTAGGCCTGCGACGGCTGGTAGATGTTCGGGCGCTCCTTCATGTAGTCGTAGCGCATCGAGAAATGCTGCAGGACCACACGTTTGACGGCCATGGCCGACTCGGCAAACTGCGAGATTTCCCTCGCCGACTGGTGATTACTGGAAGGGAAATAGAATATGTTATTAGTTCTCCGGAACCAAGGACTCTTATTCTTTGTTACTTACCGTCGAATGTTACTGGGCGTCTGCAGAGCCTTGTGGCGGCCTGATTGCTTGTTGGCCGGCGGCTCGTGCTCGCTCATACGAATCCAGGGGTGATTCAACACTGCCTCGGCACTGAGGCGATCTGATGCCTGCTTGACGAGCAGGTTGGAAATCAGGTCCTTGGCCTCATCGCTTACATGTTGCCACTCGGCCTCCGGAAAGGAAAAGTGTCCTGGAGAAAGAAAACGGTATTATTATTGTATTGTTTGCTTATAAGACACATATTATTATATTCTAGGCTATAGAACATCCACGCACCTTCTTGAATGGACTCGAAAAGCAGCTCCTGGCACGTGCGACAGTTTTCACCGCGATTCCAGCCGCAATCCTCGCCGCAGTTGCCCGAAAACGGCGGATAGCCGCAGAGCAGGATGTAAGCAATGACTCCCAGGGACCACAGATCGCACCTCTTATCGTAGTAGTGTGCCTCCCCCACAAACAAATCAACCACTTCCGGAGCCATGAACTCGGCACTGCCAACCTGTAAAGAAATTGGTTCCAGTATTAGTATTTATAGTCGAAATTCTTCATTGGCTTCCAAACTTACTGGTGTCAATAGCTGGGGAGTGGCTGCTGGCGACGAGATGTCCGTGGTGAACTTAATCCCCGAACCCAGATCAAAGTCGCAAATCTTGATCGGGCACAGCGAGTCCGTCTTGACGCACAGAATATTCTCCGGCTTGAGATCACGATGGGCAATGCCCTTCTTGTGCAGAAAATCCAGTCCGGAGGCGATCTCCTTGATTATCTGCGATGCCTCGTGCTCGGAGAAGCAAATGTGCTCCTGGATGCGCGTCAACAGCGGACCCCCGTTGATCTTCTCGAACACCAGGTAGAACTTCTCGTCATCCTCGAAGAACTCGATCAGTTGCAAGATGCCCAGATGGCCCTGGCAGTGATGGAATGTCTCCACTTCACGAAAGACACGCGCACGCGCATGCCCCGGTATCTTATCGATCACCTTCACGGCGTACTCCAGATCGGTGTAGATGTTGACGCAAGTTTGCACCGATGCATAGGCTCCCTCGCCCAGAATCTCGCCAGTCAGCTTGTACAGCTCTAAAGGTTAGATATAGTACTTTTAGAAATGGTCTTGGTGGTTATTAAACAAACCCGGCGTACTCACCTTGGAACGTTGAGGAATGAAGGGAGGAACTGATGCGTTTCTTGCGCCGCTTCTTCTGCATCTCCTCCTTATGCCTGTTCAGCTCCGCCTGCCGTTCCATCTCGGTCATGTTGGGAGCCTCACTCGACTCATTGCCCGACACATCCTCGCTGCTGTAGCGTGTCAGTTCATTCTGCCCGTCTGCAAACAAGCAATAACCGAAATATCGTTAGATAAATTGTCGAAATAAACATACAGGATAAAATTTAAGCTCTGGATATTTCTCAACTGAATTTCCCAAAGAAAATTTCAGTTCAACACTAGAAATACTAAGAATAGACCACCGCAAACATTAAAAGTAGCTAAATTCGCTGACACGTTTTTCATTTTTTTAATTTCGAACAAGTCATCAAAGTAAATTAGCTGCTAGTGATTCACTAAAAAGTTTTTTCAATTCATTATCAGTGGGCAGTAAGAAAACAAAACATACCACTTAAAGAAAACATTTTAAAATGTTTAAACAATAGGTGTTTAAGTTTGAAGATCTTAAGTTGTTAATATTTCTCCGCTCAAACCCTTCGGATTCTGCATTTTGGCTGGGAATAAACGGATAGCTCAATACTACCATTGATCGACCCAACAAACATGGTTTACGCTTTTTATCGCAATCGCTCGCCATATTTGCATGCCAATTTTTTTCTGCATTTATCAATGTATAAAAATAATAATGAGGGAATTTAAAATAAGAAATACTCGTACTTTTGCACTAACTGCGTAGAAAGCAAATCGCGTGTCGTAAACAAGTCGCCCGCAAGTGTGCATAAATATGTAAAAATTAAATAATGTGTAAACAGCCGCAAACACAGGCCTCTCTATATAGAGAACTTCTGGGTGGAATCGTACAGAGCTAGGGCTGGAGCTAGCCCAAAGATCAGAGGAGTAAGGCGGGCTGGGGACCGGCGATCAGCTTGATTGGGTGTGTGCCTGTTCTTCAATTGTTGTCAATAGCCGGACGACTATTTATAAAGCCCTCAACGGCTGCACCAAGGCGGTATCTGTCCGAAGATCTGGCTGAACGACTAAAGACCTAATCAGCCCGGAGGCACGTCGCATTGCAAATAAGTATCGCTCCATTGGAGAGCAATCGAGTGGAGTCAACTACAGTGGATCGCAAATGAAAATCTAAAAAGATTTGACATGGTTCCTACTGTTTTCGGTACTTTGGAGATACAATGGTTGTATTTTTTGAAGAGATATCATATCCTAAAATTCGATCGTTGCTTAGTATCTAAGAATAAAAATAATGAATTGACCATATGGCTTACTTTTTCATAGGTTTAAAGAAGTCCAAAAGAGGCCTACTCATAAATACTGTTATAATTTATTATAAACTTTCATAGCAAGGAACCCAATACATTTCAAACTTCCCATATTCACTGTACCAGAAAAAGGAGTGTCTTCCTAACAAAGAAACAAGTCGTTGCCCTGTAAAATCCACTTCAGAAACTGATGATTCTACCATCAGTTTATCAAAAAATGTCCAATCAAACATGCGTCCATACGACCTCGAGCGATGCTCCCCCTTTCGACCGCCCACACTTGTCTGATTTCTCGCACGCTTTCCGTTCTGTTCTAAATATAAAATTTGGCCTATTTGTTGGTCAGCTTTAATTGTTATCAATTGCGTAAATAAACGCTCAGACAATAAAAAAAGAGACCGTTTTAGCATTTCTCTCGTTTATCGAATGGTCTCTCACGTTCTCCCTCACAAATATTCTGCGCATTTAATTATGATTTTTTGCCAAATCATTTCTTTTTGATGGACGAGAGACGTGTGTGCTGAAGACGCAGGTATTTTTATTTAAATTGCATAAACAATTTCCGCAGTTCCGGCACAGAATGTCTGGGACAGCCGTCATAACACATCATCCGATCCCTTCAGGTGCAAGTCGATAAGGTGATGACGACAATGGGAATTATATGAAATTCCTCTACCCCATTTCATCAGCGGCTAGACAAATGTTAGCGACACAAATCAACTTATGTAAAATAACCTGATCCGAATGAAATAAACTAGGGAAATACATACTATCCAATGTTTGCCGGCCGGCTTTTCAGTTGCTTTACACATTATTTTTGACATCATTTTGGATGATATATGTAGGTATATGTATTTTCAAGGTTCTTCTGAAGTGTCATTCTTGAGGAAAGGTAAATGGTAATGCCATTATAAAAATGTTTACATTAGTTAGTTTTGCAGAAGAATTTTCTATCCTCAGAAAAATGTGTCAAAAATCTTGAATATTTCGAAAAATCTACAACAAATTTTATATTTTAAGATTAGAGTTCCACTTAAAAGCTGAGAAATACAATCGAGCTGAAGGACACCTATCCACAGGTGGAAAATAAAAACAATAGGCAAGAGATAACACAAAGCTGAAGCAAAACAAGAATCGAAAGCGTCTAGAGAAAACCTTGAGAAATTGAAATTTGCTTTGGAGCAAACATCGAAATTGAAGGCAGTGCCATAAAAGTTATCAAATGTCTAGGTAGGAAAGGCAAAACACAGTGGCCACCTCGATTAGCGAATAAACAAAAAAGGCCGATAAGACGGGCGAACTACGCAAAAAGTGAGCAAAGCAAAAGGTTTGCTTTTGGCACTTAACTTTGCCGTCGTTTGCCGATTTCAATTCAAATATAAGCAAGAGAATAATAAAAAGGGAAGGAGAAACAACATGCGGTCGCACATGAAGAGCTTTTAGTAAATAGAGAGCGGCGGCGGAAACGAGAGAGTGGGGCAGTGGGAGTGGGACAAGGAAGAGGAAGATAAGGTGGGTCCGCCTCTCTCTTTCGGGGTATTACTTCATGGCAGGGTGAAAGTGCGAGAAGGTGACGAAGGAACGATGTATAAAATCCCAATTAGCAGGGCTCAAAATCTGAAAGCTGTGACGTCACAAAGCTGTTATCCTTTGTAGGGTTTATCAAAAGTACACACCACTAAACTTTAAGTTTACTAGTTTTTGTAAATAATTTGTTTCCTTTGTATTTAACTTTGTTATTAGATAAAGGGTAATTAAAAATGCTTATGAAATATGTTTTCCGATCTCTGAAAACTCCTGATTCGAGTTAAATGAGGACCGTAAAGTAGTTTTCTTAAAATAAACTAGTAAACTTTTACAAATTATCTTCAATTACATGTTAATTTTTTAAGTCAAAGAATTGGTTCCTTAATTATTTAACTTTGACTTACATAAAAAGGGGAATAAAAATATGATTGAAATCCTATGTTTGTGAAATATGTTTTCCGATCTCTCAATACGCAACATTTGGCTGACTTGAGGACTGTAATTTATTGTCTGCTTCAAAAAATACCATTAAATGGTCTGAAAGTTAAAGGTTTGCTCCCCCAACCTGCTCCCCTTTTTTAAAGCCACCTTCTTCTTTTGCCACCATGAATTCACGGGGAGAAGCACTTACACATAGGCACACTCACGTACGCTATCTCAACGCGAGTGTTTGTGTGCTGTAAAGAAGCAGAAAATTATTGCGCAGCAAATGAAATTGTAAAAGCGAAAAAATGTTTGAAAATGGCGAGAGAAACCAGAACACACACAAGAGATAAAACAATAAAATTTTAAATTAGTGAATAACCCCCAGTTGGTTACACTGATAGTTATGATATGACAAGGTCGCTGTAGTTATCTTCTTTACCGTTACTCAGTAATTACAAATGAGTTTCGTCAAGACAATGGGGGGCCAAGAATACATTGTAATAGATACAGCCTGTAAAATATATAGCGGAAAACTTGTTCGAACAAAAACAATAACAAAAATGCAAAAACCGGCATTTCGAAACGTTTCCCCCGCACACAGATGCACATGCGCCCCTGTGGGTGTGCGCCAGGTGAGTGTGTGCGTGAAAGTTCTCTCATTCTCATCTCGTTCCTAGACTTTGTTGCTAATGTTGTTTTTGTATTTACCCAACATGTTTGCTGCCGCTACTGCTGTTTTTGTTGTAGTTTCTGTTGTTGTTGCCGTTCGCCTTTTAATCGCAACGCAATTTGTCTAAGCAACGCCCGTTCTGCTGCTTGTTCTTCTCCCAGGCGGCACACGTTTTTGCAATGCGTAGATAAAACCGCCTGCTCTCGATAATATATTGCTTTAGTTTCAATTTGGTTTAGTTTGGGCTAATTTTAACCCTATTCCGGTTGGATCATCTTTGATTTAAAGCACACTTCCGTTTTCCAGAATCCTCCCGACGAAAACGAAAACAACAATCTGAACGATGAAGGGTTACTGTTATTGGTAGTGTATTGATTGGAAGCACACGGAAAATTTTCAGATTTAACGGCCGGGGGATTTCGATTTCGAATATGGTAATTTTTTAGTACCGGCGACTTTGGAAAATTCTGGTGTGCGGCGGCGGAGGCGAAAACCAATTGGCCAAAATAGTGAATTTAAAAGAAATGGAAAAACACGGACAAGTCTTTGCGGACCAACGACGCGCGGCGCCAACGAGGAAAGAATCAAATTCAAACACGCGCCCGCTTTCGTTGGAGCGACAAAAACCGAAAACAGAAAACTACCGCCGTGCGCGAGAAAGAGCACCGAAGAGAGCGGCCGAGAAGGAACGAAACGAGAGCGAGAGTTGTTGTAACAAATAGACAGTGGTGGGCGAAATAGTAGGTTTCTAAATAGGGCTATTACTTGATAAGTTTTTCATTGAGCAATAACAATATAATTATAAATTTCCATCTACATACATAGTTATATAAAAAGATTTTTTTTTTATTTAAGCAGAGATTTCCATTGCAGTTAAGTTATTTCCAGATATTACCATTTTTAAGTTAGTAATACCTATTATTCTGACCCCTGGTGTTTGTAAATTTATGCTGCGCAAGCGAGATAGTTAGATGGTTATGGGGATCAAAATGTGCAAGTGCTGAAACAGGCAGAAATATCGCTTGGCATAGGACAATCAAAACAATAACACGGGCTTTTGATTACAAACGAATTAAAAAACGGCCCGGAAGAGAAACGCCTCTGGTGTGCAAAAATCCGGTTTTTAATCGAATGCACAAAGCAATTACCGGCCATGTTTATTCATCGACTCGATATAAATTCGTATTTGCCGAGAACTCGATGGCTAAAAAGAAAACATTAGCTTTGCGTTTGTCGATCGAATTCTTGTCTTTCGAGGAGGGTAAGTATAAATATTGGTACACTAGTTTACGCCGGATCAACCGATATCGATACCACCACCGCAGCCGATACCAGTGTTATCACCCAACCTGGCCAATAAGCCCACGCACACAAACACTCAAACATCTGTAGCGGCGGTGGAAAAGAGAGCGCAGATAAAGCCACATCATTGATTGGACACAGAACCAGTTTTGACAAGAAGTAGCTTTGTGGTTGTGGCCGCCCCGCCGCAAGCAAAACAAAAACAGCAACAGGAAAAACAATAACAAAACGACGACGGCCCCAAAGAGAGCCAGCGAGGATTAAGAGAGCGGCACTGGAAAAGACCGGTGCGCGAGAGAGCCTTACATGATGCAATGCGTTCCATGTAATCACTTAAATCCAATCTATAAAGCTCTTGCAGAAAGAGAGTGCAGGGTACACAGAAAGAAATAATGTGAACTTATAACCGTATACATATCAACCAATTTTTCAATTGGACAAGAGAATATGAATCTCCAAACCGATCTGAAATTTTAACTTTTGAGTAACTTTTTTCCAGTGTAGAAAAGAGCCCCATGTTTTTGGAGTCCGAGAGCATGATGCCGAATCGCACGTAGGCCGAAAATGTGAAGGACAGAAAGACAGGGGGGCGAGAGAGGCTCCAACACCAGCGCAGCATGGAAGGTGGTGTGATGTGCGAGTTTTGTTCAAAAGCAAAGAAGTGGAAAGGGCAAACAGCAAAACAAAAACTACATTTAACTCGCTTTGTTTTCGTTTTTGCACGGGTAAACAACAACATATGCCTTTGGGGTTTCAGCTGACGTTTTTTCTGCTGCGGTACGGCATTGCCAAAGCTAAAAAATAAATTTCTCTCGCAGGGCTTTTGCGCAAGAGAGAAAGAGATGGGGCTTGTGGATAGGCTGCTTTTATGAATCGGAGGCTGCACGTAGGCACCACTACTGGCTGTCCTCCAAAATGTCTAGATAGAATGGGAAACTTCTTGATAATGGTCGGTTGTTAGACTCTAATTGACAGCCTTTTCCACTCAGTCGATTGCTGGAAAGGGTTCCCCCCTTTCCACCAATTCCCCTGCTGCTTTTGCAACTGTAATCCTCTCCAGAAAACACACTGTTAATGGGAGCATGTGTGTGGGAGGCCGCGCTCTCATCGCTGCCTCCGCTTTGGCCCGTTCGTTCGTCTGCTTTGGCCCGTCGTTCTATTTTGGGCTGCATCAAACGTCACCAAGTGCAATAAACGTCATGAAGGTTATACCCGTTTTATGTGTGGCTGCAGCTTTTGGAAGTTTGTTCACATTTCGACGTTCGATGCATTTCGAGCACGAATACGAATCACCCATACAAATACAAACACCAGAGTGCATGGCGCTCAATCGATCAGCTCATGACTCATTTCCATTTCCATTAATTGCCTGCACACGCTCAATTTCTCGGTCTCGGCTAGCTGGCACAGATACTCTTGCCGTCTCCCTCTCTTTGTTTCGCCGCCGCAGCAGCTGCTGCTCTTTGGTGGTGGTGGTAGTGGTGTTGGTGTGGAACACCAGGAACTAGGAACCGAAGCTTGGAATACCCTTGTGCGACGTCTATTCCAGTGGAAGATTGTAGTCGTCACAACCTTAAGAACCTCAGAAAATCCGAGTTAATCAACATAAAACCGTATATTACAACGGCTTCCAATAGATTAGCTGGTGTGTATTTTTATTGGGCAGCAATCTGCCAAGTTTGTTGCGATTATCTTCCAAAACAGCAGAGTTATGACCATATTAAGGAACATACTAAGGCAGGTATGGGATATTAGTGGTTCCACCGATTCTGCCAAGTTTCCTGAGACTAATCCTCACAAAGCACACAAAGTAATGACTAGACAAGGGGTTTATGGAAAGAAATGGGGATTACTAGTGCAACATAATGTTACAATGCTCTATAGAGCACTGTTTTAAAGCACTAACGGAATATTTAAAGACCTGTTTGATAAAAAAAAGCGTAAGGAGGACTAATTTGCACTAATAATACCCTAACCCTATTACCAAATGGTAATAAAACACAGATGCTGGAATACCCTGCCAATTAGGGCACACATATTACGCCTAATGGCATCAGTCGCATGATGCAATGTGGTTCTCTTGGCGAAACAAAACAACTGTAAACACCCCACAGGCTGTTGGTGCGGGGGAGGAGAGGGTGGAGGGGGCGGTGGGTTTAGCCGGCGGCAGGCAGACAACATGCATGTTCTCGAACTTTCGTGACGTCAAGGAAATACACTGGCACTCGGTGCTCGTTTTGCCCCAGTCAATGCTCCCTAGTTCGCTCGATTGATTAGCAAGGGTAAACGAAAGTTCTGCTTGGCCCAGCTTTGCCGATAGCTGGAAAATATAGATTGGGGGAGAAGCAGTGGTCCTATGTAACACTAGGGTACAGATTCTTAACTGCTGGATACATTTAAAAATAACTAAAAGTTGGAAAACTATCAAAATGCTCATCTGAAATGATGAAATAGTATGAGTTTTATTTCAAATCATTGGTATTGACTTGGTACATATGTCGCATAACTGATGGATGTTAAAAATCATATGTATCATATGTATGCTTAAATTCCTAAATTGATTATCTTCCAGTAGGAGTTCGTTAAAATGGCATATATTTTTCACGTTCTCAATTAATTTTGTCTGAGATAAGGGGTGTTGTCACTTGTGGAAAGTTTAAATTTAGACGAATTTACTCTCAAAATGTTATAACCAGAAGCACTAGTTTCGAATTGTCGAGACCTTAAAGATTATACGACTTGTTATCTCTTCTATTACGCATTTTTCTAGTCCTACTTTCATAAAGATGCGTCAGGAATTTCTTAAGAGGCAAAAACTCTTTTTAAGATATTTAATAGTATGTCTAATTTTTAATTTCATACTTTTTAGTAATTTTTAAGTAGTATCAAACTCTAGCGAAATGAAAACCTCTCTAAAACAGGTATTTAAAACGTACGTGCCTTGTTTCAAATCACATATTTTCACACCTTTTTGGTAGCGTTTTAACGTAGCGTTTTATCTACAAATTTCGATATAATAAAGTTCATTGCTATTTATGTTCTAATAACTCCATATGTAAGTGCTACCTGACTGAATCTGGCTATTTCAGAAGTATCTGATGTCTTAAGCCTCATAAACAGGTACATACATATATATGTATCTAAAGGTATGTTTCACTTTTCACCAATTTCTTTTTCCCCCATTTTAGGTATGGTGAAGACTCTATAGATTTCCTTGGATATTTTGATATAAAGAATTCCCATCCCTCGTTCTAAGAACTCCACACATGTTGCCCACGATCGTCTAGTGCTCACCTGACTGACTCTGGCTGCAGCTGTTGTCCGTGTTGCTGCAGGAAATGCCGCTGCCGCTCCGTATGCCCGCTGTCCCCGGATCCACGGGGGTTGTTGTTGGTGGCATTGTTGCGCTGCAGCGTTGCATTCGCCCCAGGGGCAGCTGTCCCGGACTTGGGCTCCTCCAGCTCCACCATGTTGTAGTTGTTGCGGGTGGACTCTACTGTAGAACAGGAGAAGATATTCCAAGCTGGAAAGGGTTTACTGTTACGCGGCGGCCAGCTGCAATGCGTGGTGCAACAAATGAGCAATTTCTCGCTCTCTCGCGCTCTCTCTCTCTCTCTTTCTCAGCTCATTCAAAATGGTGGCCTATGGGATGTTTTTTGTTTTCCTCTACTTTTTAATCCAATTGCCAAGAAATGCGGCGGCTATTTTTTTTTTCTTTCTTTCTAGTTGTGCAAACCGATTTGATTCTGTAGCTGCTCTCTCTCTCTCCCTCTCTCTCGCTCGCTCGTTGGTCAAGTTTGGTGGTTGAGTCGTCGTTGGTGTTGCTGTTGTTGTAATCGATGGTGGCTGCTGATTTCTCTCATTACACAGGCGAAAAAAGGCGCAAGCAAAAAATGGGTTTATCTATTTGCACCGTGTTTTTTTTTTCGGTTATCTGACTTGGTTTTATTTTCTGCGCTCTTCTTTTTGCGTTTCACCTTTCCTTTGTGGGCTTGGCTGTGCAGTTGTTGCTGTAGTTGTGGTTGTAGTGGAGGTGGTGCTGTAGTGGTAGTGGTAGTGGTGGTGGTGCAGGGGCTCCTATTTTCTTCTGTGGCTGCTGGAAGTGGCTGGTGGGTGGTGGAGTTGGTCGTAAAATTTCCTCTGCTGATTACAACACAAAAAAAATCGCTGAATAGCGGACAAAAGCCGTTTTCCCTTGCGTATTTCGCTTTAGGTTTCCTTCCCAGCTACCGATCCATTTTCAAAGTTCGAATGATTCCGACGAATAACGGTGGAAACTCGGGGCGGTGGGGGGAGCCGTTTTTGGAGGGCCTTTCTCCGGCGCTGCGAAAACGACACGTCGCCCGGGTAACAGCGAGGGAGTTTTCGCTAACCGCCGATGGTAACACTAGCTCTGCCAACTAGCACCTCTATGAGTTGCGGTCACACCAAAACAGAAATGTTAAGTTAACATTGGTTTGTTTGGCACCGCTGTAAACTGAAGTGCAAGGTTTTGTATAGATATTTTATTAAATTTCCAATTTATCTAGATTCCTTGCAACTTGGAACGCGCTCAGTGTTTAGTTTTTTTAGTCAGCGTTGAAATGTTATTGCTAGCGGTTCAGGACACGGATTACACTGTGGTTTTGTACTGACTTCTGTTAAGTGCCAGTTATCGAATATGTATATCGGTTAATGTCTCGAATGCAGTGGTTCATGTCATGGCTGACCAAGTGGTTTCAGTATTGGATTTGGCGGGGTGGCAACGCCATGTAACTTGCACCGCTTGACTAAATTTAAATTGACGGTTTATTTTTGAAAATTTCAGAAGAAAATGTTCATAAAGTAAATTTTAATAATTAAAAGCCCATACTGTAAATGTAGCCATATAAAGAGTTATCCATTTCCATATAGGTAGGATTTTTTTTTTAAATCTTCGCAGCTTAAAATATTGATCTGAACTCAATTATCAGTTGATAACTCCAAGTATCTGAAACTCCCAGTACAGTCGACAAAACGCATTTTTGGGTGATTATAATTTATTAGAATTTTTATTGACTTAAGGTAAATATAAATAAAATATTATTCAAGTACAAAGTTATACATACTCATTAATATTATTTGATTCAAGTAAATATATTTCAAAGTGGCGGTGTTTTATTATATCATTTTCAATTAAGTACAATTTACTGTTTTCCTGCTCTATTTCTAGGGGTTCGCAGAGTGGCCAAAAGTACTCCCAACACTCGGTCTTTAAAGGTATATTTTGTGGGCAAGCCCTGTCGATGTGATGATGGCTTGTCCACGAAATATGGCTGCGAGTCATTGACGCCGCACTGCCAGGTTTTGAACCTGGCCCTTGACTCGTGGTTTCCTCGTCTTAGAGACCCGGGGATCGAGTACTTGTGGGTGCTTTGCGAACCCGGGGACCTTTGCTTCAAACCTTGCCCATGCAACAATTGTCTCTTTTGTGTAGTTTACGTTTAATCAATGAATTTTGGATCACAAACAGTAAATACGTCTTTAACGATAATTGCAGTTGAATTAAACATATTAAGATCAGGGGGTCGGGTCGGGTTCGGGTTTGGGTTTTGGGTTTTGGGGGTACCTTTTTTAATTATAAAAATATTGTATCTGCATTTTACATGTTTTTGTTTTGCTACTATCGCTTTCTATCGCTCGAAATTACATAAGTCCAGCCTTAAACAAGTAATTTTCGTCACCAATCGCATTCGCGCACGCTCCATTATCCATAACACTCGGTTTTTTCTTTCAATTTTCAATTCAATTTTGCATTTAAACGCTACGTTGCCTTAACTTCAGTCCTTTCGCAGAAAATCTAACCCTTAAATGTATTTAGCTCGTCGCCCGTCGATCTCTTTGCCTCACATCCCCCGCATGCTGCAGACACTAAACATAAATTCAATACGTACAGTTTTCAAATTGGTAGTGGTGGCGTTATTAACTCGTTTTTAATATATATAAAAGGTTGTTACGAACGTTACGCGCCCATCTGATCCTCTCCTTAAATGCCATCCTGCTCTAACTACAATTTAACTTCATCTTTGGCCGCATACCCCGCATTACTTAGTTAGCTCCTGTAAACATGAACTGCTTGCGTTTTCACTTTCACTTTAACTTCTATTTTCTGTTTAAATGCACTAAAAGTTGCACGGACCGTTTGCCTATGAAGTCGGTGATCTATCCTGTAAATGTCGATTTTATACCTTCGATAAGCCAATGAAGTGTGAGAAAATATGTTTCTATTTCGTCATCTGTTTGTTCGTACTTTATGCTTTGTTTATGGTTGATGGTTCGTTTTGCGTTTATAAAATGCCAAAATTTGTGCAAATTTCTAAAACTTTTTGTTTTGTCCTTCTCGTTATTATACTAAAATATTTTAACTTTAAAATGTACTTTTTCTTTAGATTAAACTTTTCTTTTCTTTGTTTCCTTTTTGTTTTTTTTTTCATTTCGTTTCGTTTAAAATATTGCATTTTTATTTTATGTTTTTTTTTTCTTTTGGAGGCTTTATCCCTGAGTGATTTAATTTCATTTGTTTGTCATTTATTGCAACTTTTTCTTTATAAACTTATTGTTTTATATTTTCTTATTCGATTTAGTGTGTCAAGAGAGAGTGAGTGAGTGAGTGAGACCAAGAAAATCAATGGCAAAATAATAACTCCTTGTTTGTGAAGGTTGCTTAATTATTTATATATGTTGTCACGTTATTGTTTACAAATTGTCGTCTCTGGGTTGCCAGCCCACTGGCTTTTGGGCCAACAGAACACGTTAATAATATGCTGTGCTACCCTCTAGCGTAGTAACTGTATTTAGATTTGCTTAGTTTTGTTTCTTTTCCCATTAACTTTTGGCTAATACCTCTCTGCGGTTTACTTGTCTATGTTTTGTAATCTGCTGTTGTGTCGTGGGTGTGTAGTTAAAATATTTGTACTTCACTGCAAGTGTTTCAATTACGTTCCGCACTGTAACATACTGTAATACACAAGTTTTCGGCACAAGCCGAGAGATTATCATACTGATTAAGTACCTTTTTTGTGAGAGATGTGCCGGAAAGAAAGTTAAGAACGTGAAAAATGCTTGGAAATGTCGCTCTGGCTCAAACTTTTCGAGAAACAACGATTTGTCCAGAGATTAACTGGATTTATCGCTCTAAAATGTGCCTTAACTTGGAATGTGAAACAATATCCATATCCCCCCATTCGATTCGGGTCTTAAGTTTGAGCCCAGTGGGCCATTTGCGAGTTGCGAGTGATCGAAACAAACAAGGAAAGTGTATCAGTATCTGTATCTATATATGGTGTATCTGTAGGCTAGCGTATTTAGTTTGAAGCTTCGTATAACTATACAAGTTACAGGGTTGCAATATGCTGCATTGCTATGTATGCTCTTGAATCGGTTTAATCGTTTACTTTACTTTATCGTTAATCGTTTATCGTTAATCTCAAAATGCTTTGTATTTGAACAGTAAATTACGTTGTCACTTGCTCGAAGTGTTTGCACTTTATTTCGGTTATTGTTTTATGCCTTTATTCCTATTCGGTTTTCATATGCTCTCTCTTTTTGTATTTATATATATAAAAATATCCTTTTATACAGTTGTGTTTTCGGTTATTGTTGCTGTTTTGCTGTTGCATCTGCAATTGTTAATGTTTAGCGGTTCTTTAAGATTGTTTTTGACCCGTGCTTTCTGCGATCCTATGGCTATTGCTGCTGTATAAGTGGCTCTTAACGCTATTTGTGGTTATCAGTGTTATCGGTAATCAGTATTGGTAAGCTGGATATAGGTGTAGTGTTGCATATTGCAGTTGCAAGCAATGACGATGGCTGGAAGTTGGGCATTTCGGCATTTCGGGCATTTCGGCTTGCCAAGATGCAGGTTCGTATTGCGGCTTTCTGTCTAGTGTTTGGTGTGAGTGTCGTGACTCTGCGTCGAAGGTTTTCCTTTGAACATTCAAGTTTAAAAGCTTAAGATTACATGACCTCGATTCGGGTTTCCCTCTATATGCCTATCGGTAAAATAAAATACAAGACTAGAAGTACAAATTTCGCTTGTAGAGCTTCTTACTTCCTTAAAAATGTGCACAATTCAATAAGAATCTTGTGTAAATCCCCATGTGGTCTGTGGGAAAATAATGAACAAACGAACAAAAAGGCAAATCAAAAGGATTATAAATTGCACATACATATATAGTAAATCGGTTGCAGACATATTAACTTATTCTTAGAACAGCTTTCGATCGTCTCATCTTCTTTTTATCATCGTTTATGCAGCGACTACAGATCACAGATCCCCAAAAAAGAAACGAAAGCGACACTAAAGCGGCGTTATCTTCTTCCCTTAACATATGCGCATACTAAACTCGAATTTAAATCTGTCATTCTGCTGATTTGTACATTTCGATTGCTATACTTTGCTCGACCGTTTTTTCTTTTTCATTTTTTTTGTGCGAAAATCTCAACTGAAAGAACTAAAGCTAAAGAACTGAAAGTGTCGTGAACAAAATCGTACTAATACTTGCATCCAGTAAGTATAACTCGTGTTTATTTGAGGGTTATTGTAATTGGAGTTGGGTGACGCTCAGCAGGACCCCCGGTAAGCCCCCAGCGAATTTCAAAGGCAGCCAAATCGACTGCTTCCAATAATGGTCAGATGAATCCCTATATGGTATGTGGATCCCCCTAACCACCGGTGAAAGCAGCCCGGCCGCCCTTTATGGCTTGAAATTCGTCTGGGAGTTTACCAGAAGTCCTTGTACGATCCTCAGGAGCCGTGCAGCGCGTTGCTCTGCGCACTGTTGCCGCCTCCGCCGCCTCCTCCACCTCCTCCGCCGGAGGATCCGTTCACGTTCTGCGCCGACACCTCCGACTTGACCCGCCGGGCGATGTGCGACCGCGTGTGCTTGCGCAAGTGATCCTTGCGATAGAAACCTAAAGACGATCGGACATTAATTAATAAATATCTATATGTAATGTGATCATTATAAAGTCCACTCACCTTTTCCACACTCAATGCATACATGCTTCTTCTCGCCGGAATGGATGACAATGTGCAGAGTGAGCTGCTCCTTGCGCTTGAAGGACTTCATGCAGATCTGTGGGAATAAAATTTAAGATTAAAACTCGCCCAACAAAATATTTGCTTATTTTAATACATTCGTTCTTACGAATCAGAACTTAGTTCATAAGTCACATAAGTATTTAGAACTCGGTTTATAGGTTAAATCAATTTTTAAACATTTCCAGTTATAACTATCCTAATTAAGGTACAAGGATCGCGGGAAAATAGGAAAATAAGGAATGCTATCACATGTATAACGACATATACATAATAGATTTTATGATAATAAGATATATTCTAGAATTAACATGAAGGGTAAACTTTAATTTATGTAATTATTCATGAATTCGCCATTAAATTAAAATAAAAAATTTAAGTAATGTGATAATATGATACATTAAATATGTTTTATATAGCAAAAACTTGAATAAATTTCTAATATCACGGGACAATAAGAACTCGGGTAGTGGGGGAAGGCCCTTCGGCCACTCACATTGCACACATGCGGCCTGTCCGGTATGTGGGAGAGCTTGTGCCTGGTCAGGTGGTCCTTGCGCTTCAGCGCCGCATTGCAGATGTCGCAGACGAAGCGCCGCTCCACGGCGTGCGAGATGACGTGCTGCTCGATGAGGCTGCGGTCCGGGTAGGCCATCTGGCACTCCGGGCAGCAGTAGAGCGTCGAGCCGTCCAGCGCCTTCGTCTCGCGGATCTCGCCCGGCTTGGGGCGCGGCTTCTTCTCCTTTGGTGGTTTCTTCTTTTTGGTCTTCTTGCCGGTGGCCGTGCCCGTGCCGCCGCTGGCGTTCGTGGTGCCCACGGATCCGGTGCTGGAGACGGCGCCGGCGCCACCATTGGTCACCGTTCCGTTGGCATTGCCATTCACCCCATTGCTAGTGCCGCCATTCGTCAGCGCCGCTCCGTTGGCGTCCGTCATGTTGGTCATGTGACCGCCATGGTCCATGCCCACCAGTCCGTTGTGATGGCCTCCGTTCGCCCCATTGTTGCTGGGCGTCAGGGCCACGCCCCCCAGCGCCAGGCTGGCCAGGTTGGTGCCGTTCTTCAGGACATCGCCGGTGGACTCCTTCTTGATGGTCTCCGAGTACTTGAGGAAGTGCTGTATGGAGATGGGCAGTGTGGCGGAGAGCAGGTGCGACGAGTAGTCCACCGTGTTGGCCGTGTTGGCCAGCGTCTGCCAGGATTGGTTAACATTCTGCAGGATCTGCTGGTTGAGGACTGGGGAGAGGCAAAAAATAATTATATTGTAGTTTCAAATATGCACTTATGCTGCAGAGATTTAAAAATATCAGATCTATTGTAATGTTTTCTAATGTAAACTTTTTAAAACTTCTTATAAACCTTTTAGATCTATTATAACATTTTTAAATCTCAGCATTTTTTGTACCCTTTGGCCTGCTCTTCAAAAAATCTTTAAATATATACCCCTTAAAATTAAATATACAAGATAGTAACTCTTGTTTTTTTAAATACTCCTGCAAAAATTAATCATATCTACCCTATCCTAACAAATCAGTTCCCCCTTGTGCACCAAATTTTGTTGCATACTTTTTGACACCTAGAAATTATGCCTCTGATCAGTAGACATTTCTTATTTGTTTAAGAGTTTGAAATCTCTGAAAGGTCAAGTGAGCTATGTTTGCCCCATACCACTTGGGGGTGTGTCAGCTGTCTTTTAAGTGAATACATATTTATCATGTTGCTACCCAAGTTTTCTGGTCTGTTCCGGCATACAACATATTTCCCATTTCAGTTTTCACTAGACAGCTTTTTCGGGTTTTATTACAAGCTTCAATTTTTAAATTGGCGAATCAAGTGTACACTTTAAAATAAATTTTTAAAATCATTGAAAATCACTTTCAAACCTTTTAAGGAGTTAAATCAAAATTTTATACCGAATTAAACATAAAAATTTCTTCTACATTTTAAGAACACCGTTTAACTTTAATGTAGAGACACGATTTACTTAAAATCACATCCATATTTTTATGTTTAACGGTCTATAGAATCACTAATTGAAAGTAATTGTTATATAATATTAATTATAATTACCAGAGCAGCCAACCTATAATATCATTAAAATATCTCGAAACTTTGTGACCGGAAAGGGCTGTCTATTCTCAAGAATCCCAGGATAGTAACCATTTACTGCCAAGGACACATTCCCCATCCCCCCCACTTATAAGCATTGCAAACTTTTTGCCTTTGCAGCGTGCGTAATCAGGATGAGGAAAGCAACATCCACTTGTTTAAGGTGGCTCGGCGTAAAACTGGATGAAAAAGTATGCTATGGTGCCATTATAGCCCCCAAACCAACCCGAACCACCCACACCGGCTTGGGGGACAGCAGACAGGCCCAAAAACATTTATAAATAACGAAGCCGAAGGGAGACGCACGACGAGTGATGACTGCGTCCTTGAAATACACATATACCAACCCGAAAGCCCAGTACATACTCGGCTCAGCTTCCCCAATCCCCAATCCCCAAAGTCCAGGCCCACTTTCTATCCACAGGGCCCACTCTATTCGAAACCTCCCACTCAGTCCCCTACTTTTCGGGTCGGCGACTCACCTTCTTCCCGGTCACGTTCGATTTTTGGATGGATTTTACCCTTATGATCGGCCGCAGCGGCTGCATTGAGAAAGTTCAGATCGCCCTGCGGCTGTGAGTACGGTATGGAGATATTCTGGCCATATTGCATGTTGTTGGCAGCCGAAACTGAAAGGAGAGAAACTTTTCAGGTTAGTATAGTCAAGTATATTGGGTATATAAATCAGAAATATGAGTAGGGATTAAATAGTTTTTAATATTTACACATGGTGAGCACAGCCTTTGGTATAAATTGTGTATATACTATATAGTTTTTGACTTAGGATTATATTTTCTATGGTTTTTCACTGGGAAATTCGGCCGCCGCTCTCGCACAACGCTTTCTGGCCGACTAACTACAAGCGACTGGGCCTGGCCTGCCGGAGTTTCCCGATTTGGCGGCTCCGGCTCCTGGTTCCGGCCGGCTCCGCCAACGAAACGAATCGAATCCCATGGCTCAGCTGGCGAGCCGAATAAAGATCGGGTGCCGGCACAAAAACAACATACGGCCCCGACTGAAGTAACGACGCTGTGGCACGACAGAAGTACCCACTATATATACATATAGTTATATAGGCGCTTGTATCTAGGGCCAGTAACGCTCTGCTTGTGTGTAGGCAGCCACATTTTCAGCATATATACAAATTTTGGGGCGGACTTGGGTTGTGTGCACCACCGAGCTGAGTTCCAAATACTGAGACAAACACGTTAGCAGAAATTGGATTTAATGTCTGTCGAAGATTATCACTCATACGCAGGCCATTACGTATACGCAGTGCTGCCGTTGTATCGGAACCTATTTGTCAGGGAGTATAATCTATTTATCGATAGCGAAACGTATTATGAAAGTAAGCGGAAGACTATTAATGTTTTTTATCTAATGCGATGTAATGGAATTACCGATAAGAACATCATAAAAATGATTATAATTTATAGAATATTACAAAATATCTATACATATATTTAGTATCAAGTATATTTGATACTAACTTTTAGACAATAGATTCTTAAGGCTTGGTTCGGTAAAAGTTGTTATAAAACTCGAAATATTCATAATTATACCTAGTACGTTATTACTTTTTGTTTAAAATCCCTTTACAAAGAGAATCTACGAAGTTAGGGGAATGAAATAAATATATTTTTCAAAATATGGTAAGAGCATAGGTGTTTTGTTAGTAAGTATTATATCAATGCTTACATTATATAATACAAATCCATTTAATCAACTAGTGATTAGAAAAAATGGTATAGAGCCTATAACAAAATAAAAAAAATGTGTTTAAAAATTATTTTCCCATAATTTAGTTCTTCCAAAAACACTAAAGTTTCACCCTAAAGACCATAAAGTAGTAAGTAATGTATCACATAGGAACCAAATTTTGATAATACACTTTATTATATTTTTCTAGTGATTAGCAAAAATGGTATAGAGCCTGTAGCAAAATAAAATCATTTTGATTTAATTATTTTCCCATAAAGTATAGGTTTCGAAAACCATAAAGTTCCACCCTAAAGACCATAAATATGTATCGGCCCAGTGTAGTTAACCACGTTGTTCCTACTCGCCGAACGTGCGTGTGCCTACGAACTGTGGTCGTCTGCTGGCTGTCGTCGCCTCCCAAACCCCAACCGCGCCCCCTTACCAACACCAGCACACACAGCCGTCTGCCAAGGCCAAATTTTCACACACACACACACACGCACGCACACTGAGGCACACACGTGTTTTCGGGGCCCCGACAACGCATACATAGGAAAAAGGAAATTAAAACTGAAACTGAAAATGCCGGCCGCGCACACGCCCGAATGTATGCCATAGGAAAAGCGTTCCCCACTTTTTCGGGGGTTTTCGGTGGGTGAGCATTTTCCCGATCCCCCGCCTCCATCCTCCCCGAGTTGAGTTTTCCGTGCTTCTTGGCGTTTTCTTAGCCGGGTGCTCGGTTTTATAAATAACATTCTCGGGCTGTTGCCAATTGCCTGGTTTTGGTTACATGTTCTGTCTTCAGACTGCTCCTGCTTCCTTTTCGAAATATGTACATATCCTGATTTTGGATGGAAGGATTCAGGAAGCTGTACTTCATATTTTATAATATTATTCATAACCAAAGAAAGACAAGAAAAATAAACTTCCTTTTCTTTTTTTCCTACCCGCTGACGTGGTGAAATTTATGTGTTCCCGTGCGTGAGGTCTGTGTTAGTCTTAGTCGCTGTATAAATTACCATTCGACCTTGGGCCACAACTTAACATATTTCCAAATGCTTTAATTTTTTCGCATAGACCTTAGACGATTTGCGTTGAAAGAGAGAAAGCGGCTCAAAGTGTTGCTTTAAGAAAATCGTTGAGGCAGAAATGATTTAAATTGTAAACATATGCTTATGCAAATGATTATGCTTAAATGTATAAACAAATTAAGGCCAAAAAACAAAATATAATATGGTCTTATTGGGTCATTTCAAAGTAATCTCTTCTTGCTTATGCAAATGTGTTTGGGAGATATAAGAACATATGAGCTATAAGGACTCGCTTGTATGAATTGGTCGTAAAAGTAGGCTATAGATTTTTAATTTTCGCAGATTAAGTTATTGAGAACAGAATAAACTTACAAAATAATTCTTGAAAACGGTTTTGGCAATATGCTTTCTTATATGAATATCATCAATATCTTTACTTAATAATTGAAAAAGATCAATTATGATCATTGTATTTATATTATATAGATCTCTTTTAAAAGTTTCTTTAAAAACTTTCGGTATATTTTTCTTTTTAATTTAAAAAGTAAGAAAATCCGATTGATTTTATAAAATATAAATACATTTTTTTAATATTTAATATAATAAGAAAAAAATATAATAATTTGTAAAGCATTTACTTATGCATCAGTCTCCGCAGAAAGACTTTGAATAGGTGAAAATTAAACGGCAATCATCGAAAGGGTTCAAAGGCAGCCGGAAAAATCGGTCGAAATGGCCGAAAATACGGAGCCATGGCAACAACAAAGGCGGGAGGCGTGCGTGGATGGCAACTGGCAACCGGCATTCGTGGCATTTCACTTTTCACTTCACTTTCCCATGAACGGGATGACGACAACGACAGGGAAAACAGGGAAAACAAGGAAAACGAGGAAAACAACGTGCGGCGTACGGCGTACGGAGTACGGAATGGAGGAGAGGAACATATCGCCGGAATAGGAATCGTGAATCGGGAATCGGAGCCGGAGTAGCGAGTCAAAGTCGGTGAAGTCGGAAACACGGCCAAGCGAGAGTGAGAGAGCGGTGAGAGTGGCGGAGAATGTCCCATGTCCATGGGAGAGTGGGAGCGTGGCAGAGAGTGAGAGAGAAAAGTGGGGTTCTGGGCGGATCGCTCGTTGCCAGCAAAGTGGAACAAAATGGAAAGGAATGCGCCTGGCAGCGATTTGAAAAACATGGCGTTTATCTGCTCCTGTCCATGTCTATGTGTGTCGAACGGGCTGGTTAGCTGGTTAGCTGGTGTGCGTGCGTGGGCTGTGAGAGGCGAGGCAGTGAAAGCGGTGAGAGCGCCCGCGCGGGAGAGGGAGAGCGCTTGGGTGAGAGGAAAGTGCCTATGCTAGAGAGTGAGAGAGCGCGGCGTGGTTGGGCAGAACTGCAACCCCTAACGGAGTTGGGCGAAACTTGACCCCAAGCAGAGAGAGTGAGTGCGAGAGAGAGTGGGGGTGGGAAAGTAATAAGGGGTGAGGGATGTTTACACTCGAAGTAATATGCATAACTCAGTGGTTTAAGTTAATAGAATTTAATAATAAAGTAAATGTAAGGAAGTAGTAATGATATTGGATCCTTATTAAAACTGGTTGGACCCTAACAATCTGTTGCATAGTTTCTTGTTTATGTATCTTTATATTTTGTAATTTATATCCAGCAAAGTATTATCATTGATAATTTTTTTAGTCATTGATGATATCTTAATTGAAGTACTAATATGAAAAACATACATTTAAGAACATATACTTCGGTTCTTAAAATAAAATCTTTTATTTCTTCAAAGGGAAGAAACTTGAATTTTTCTGAGTGTATTTCCACGGGAGAGAAATCATACGAAATCGAGAGGGGTACAAAGTAAACGGCGCCATCGGCAGAGTTTAAGTCATCAGCGCCAACAGGATGAAAAAGGAAAAAAATCGAAAGCTCAACGCCCGCTTTAAGCCTTAAAGTCAAAGTGGGAAAACAAAGAAATAAATAATCAATGTTGGCTAATATTTATTTATCTATACCCATTCAAATGAAAGGACTTTTGGGGGTTGGGGTCTGTGTGCCCATCGTAATTGCTTTATCATGCGCACTTTTTTAGTGTTGCATACATCCAGGCAACGATTTGGGGGTGTAACCAGTCATTCACACCCATGAAGCACATACATTCTATGTACTCTGCACATAGGTACATAAGTACGTACATATGTACATAAAAAATGCAAATGGTTTATGGCTGGGGTGTCTGCTGAACATTAGGGGGACGTTAATAAAGGACATAGGACTGTGTCCTCGACAACATGATACCCGGTGTCCGATGAAACTCATAATATTCCAGGCTAAAGGGTTCCAGGCAATTAAAACTAAAATGTTTCTAGTCCAACACTGGAAATTCAGGTGGGAAAAATATATATGTGTTGTGTTGACTAATGGATAAAATAGTTGGGAGATTTGATCCAAATTTAAATTTACGAATAAACACTATTAACGCAAAAAATATCTATAACTTGAGTTGTTAAGTTTAAATAACATAAAGAAAGGTAGCGTTATCTATCAGGATATTTCAATGTTGTTATCATTATTTGAGATACGTCACCAAATTTGGTAACTATTAAAAATATGTCTTACTTAAACATTATTCTCTTTTTCTTAAACAATATGTTATAAGAACCCTAACCCCATTATTAATTTTTCTCTATGCCACAACTAGGTAGAACAAAATATATATATAGTATTTAGTTAGTGAGTTGGTATTCATATGAATATATTTTATATTATTTGTATAGCTGTTTGATAATTATACGCTTCTTTGGTTTTTCCAACATGTGAACTGCCAGCGACCTTTCTCCCAATCTTGGCCAGGTATTTATCTGTTTACATTTTGAGACCCATACCCAGAGGGCAACTCCGAAGGTCCGGCCATATCTACATCTACTGCTGCACATTTCCTGGTAACCCAATAATGATTTATACAAGGGAACCGAGCAAATTATCGGGTAGGTATCGAGAGATAAACCTCGAGCAGGTCGCAGGGCAGCGATAATGCAGCTAATAAGCGAGAAAAGCAGGAAAATGCAGTAGCTACGAGTACGTGGGACATTTTACCTGCCTGGGTTTGGGATAGAGATTGGGAGACCTGGGATCATCAGCACACACCGTCCAGTAAATACGAAATACCCAGGCCCAGACCAGTAGATTACATCGAGTCGTATGTATGGTAAGAGATAAAAGAGCTGCATTATAATGCTATACACACAGATACAAACAGACACGCAAACGCATTTTCCTGTTATAGCAGGTAAAAAATATAAAACGCTAAACTGGAAATATAATGCGTAGCTCAAAAGCCGGGATCAATGAACCTAACCGATGCAGAGGAGTTTGGGTTTGGGTTTTGGGTTTGGGCCTTGGTTCTCCACTTTCCAATAAATGCAAGTGGAAAATATCTGTGCAGTTGCCAGGGCAAAAATAAATTATGAAATGCAACCCGAGGGGATGGGGGTTGCCTGGGAATCTAATTATGCAAGCAAATGCAACTAATTAGAATTGATAAGAAGAAGGAGCCTGCGGTTGGGGGTTAGTACAGGGGTTATGTATTCTATATATCGGGGGTGGGATCGACCAACCGGTCACACCCTTCTACTAGAAAAAAAGAGGAAAAAAAAGTTGCAACTTGGCAGGAAGTCAGTGCAATTAAAAAGGCAAAAGGCTGGCTCTCGGGGGTTGGGGGTTGTAAACTCACACTCACACTCACACACACACACTCTCGCCCAGCACTCGTACATATATTTAATTGTATTTCTATGTATGTGCTTAAGTAGCTGAAGAGAGCGGTGAAACCCACCCCTACAAAAAAACAAAGTGAAATGCAGCAAATTCAAAAGTTATTTGAGTTCATTGCATTTTCAAGCCACGCAAAACAACAACAACAACAACAACAAGAGTTATAGCTCACACACACAGCTACACCCACTTGGGGGTGGGTGGTAATGACTCAAAACATAGAGCGGAATATACTCGAATAAAAAAGAGCACAAAACAAAAACAACGACGAAAAAATCGTTAAATTCAGCTTTGATGACAGGGTATACTCGTACTTGTACTAAGTCGCTCCACCCCGCCAACCAACCCCCAAAAAATTGTAGTGCGGTTTACAAATTGCCCGAAGAAGATGTCTTCGCTGGCCAGAAAGCGAGAATTTTCAGGGATGGGGGTGGAAAACCCTATAGCACACACACATGTCGCTATGCGAATGCCAGTAAGTAGATCCAGATGGAAGCCACCTTTCGCTGGCAATTCAAGGAAAGTAGTGTTTCGGATCTCAAGTGGTAGGTTTCATAAAAGAATCGAATATTCCAGTTTTTACTACACTTAAATAGGGGATCAATAAAACTACTCTCTTACCAAATACCATGCAAAATATCCTACATTACTATTACGTCTAAAATATTTATAGAGATCAATAAAACGAATTTATTATGAAATTGGATTGGCTAGATCACGAAGAGGGTTATTACGAAATTTAATAGACTATTCTGTTTTGCAGTTAAATTACTGTTGTAGAATTTAACAGCTATAAGCACTTTGTGTTAAGTTCTTGTCTGTATTTTGCTTACTCTTCAAGTAAATATTTTTATTTTTTGGGCTTTCTAGCCACGCTTTTCTGGATTTTTTGCCTTTTTCTACAGATATAATGGTAAATATGTAACTCTTTCACAGGCGTATGTTAGGATTTTCTCTAGGGAACCATTAATAATGAACGAATCTTACGAAACAAAGCTAATAAAGATGTAATCGATATCAAAGCTATAAAATTCCCAACCACATCAAATTTTAGTATGATTAATAAATATTATATTACCTATCTTAAATGAAGTCCAAACCTTTTCCAAACCCATAAATCTATTTAAATAGAATGATTCAATTATTTAGTACACATATTTATATTTAATTGGTATAAAAGATCATAATTTTGGCTTGTTTATTCCAACTAAACCATACTAAAATCATCTGTTCTAAGCAGTTCTTCAGTGAAACAGCCAACAAGAGTAGTGTGCCCTTTGCCCCAAAACAAAACCCTGTGTAGGGCATTAGGCAAGGCAATAGCCGACCCCCTCTGCCGCTGCCTCTGCCTCAGTCGCTGCGCTCGAGTGAGAGTGTATACCCCCTGACGCTATGACGCCGGCGTCGCTGCCCGCAGCGGGCGAAAATAAATCGATAAAAATAAAATAAATTTTTAGTGATTATGTTATACAGACACATGTGCCTGCATGTGCATGTGCATATGGGAATGGGCTTGGGTTCGGTTTAGGGATTGGTATCGGGATGGTAAAGTATCTTTATTTGTATTTATTCTCGTGTGTAGTACTGTGTGTGTGGCAGATGCACTTACCGTTGGGCACATTCTGATTAAAGTGATTGCCATTGGTCTGATAGCGCTGCACATGGTTATCGGTGCCGGCCGCTGCCGCTGCGGCTGCTGCATTCGCGGCGGCCGCGGGGGGCGTGCCGAAGGCGCCGGGCGTCTGGGCGTCGAATTTAGCGGCAAACTGATGGATGCCGGAGAAGGGGCCGCCGAACGCGGAGAAGTTCATCATGTCAGGATCGGGGTTGATCGGCGGGCAATGGGTTTTGTAGGTTCGATTGCGGAATTGGGGGCCTCCAAGGGCCCAAAGATAATCCTCAAAGTCGGTTAAAGCACTATAACTCGATCGGTTTTATATATTTTTTGGGAATTTCTGATTTCGGAATTTTTTTGTTATAATTTTCTGCACAAGAGGGCGAAAAACGATGACGAAGAGTGGGTGGTGACGGTTGGCTGTTGGCGGTTGGTGGTGGTGTGCCCTCTGTTGTTGTTTTCCTGTTCTCCGCCGCCGCTGGTGGGGGTTGGTTTTCTTTTCCTTGCCTCCCTTTCTTTTCTTTCCTTTCCTTCCCACACTCGCCGCAAACACTCACTCACACACACACACACTCACAGTAGTGCCAACGCGCGTACGAGCGCACAGTTTTATGCTGTGCTTTGCTTTTTCGGGGGTAGAAAAGCAGAAAGCAGAAAAGCGGGCCCAAACACAACAACACTCACTCACACTCGCACACACACGCGGAGAACCACTTTCGGTTTCGATTCTCGATGCTCGAATCCGCTGGATACTCGGACTCGGGGATTCTGATTCCGATTCTCAGCTCAGCACTGCTCAGCTCGACTCGAACTAAACACGCACACACACCCCGGCGGAACGGAGCGGAATCGCACTAAAGTCTCGCTTACGATTTCGCTTACGACCGGCTCGACGAGGCTCCGACATCAAACTAAAAGTAACATTACAACGAGGCGAAAGAAAGCGGAAACACTGGGCCAGGCAAAGCGACGCGGACGCGGACGGCGGCAGAGGCGGCGGCGGCAGCGCTGCGACGCAAATGACAGTGACAGTGCCCAGGGGCATGCAGGGTATATCGGTGAGTCGGTGGGTTGGGTCGCCCCCTCTCTCGGTGCTCTCTTGGTTAGTTTACAGCTCGTCCGGGGGTTAATGGCACTCTTGTTTATCCCATCTCTCCTGGTTAGTTTAACCTGCAGTTAAGATAAAAGAATCTTTTCTATAGTTCTTGAAAGCTAAGATAGTTTTTGGATTGTGGTATAGCACTCTGGCCTATACCATCTCTCTTGGGTAGTTTAACCTGCAGTTAAGGCAGTTTTTTGGTAAAAATAAATCTTGAATACTAAGATAGTTCGTGGTTAGAGTGATCTGTGCAAAAAGGTGCTGTCTTACAAAGGTTTGTTATAGAAATATGGTTCTGAAAAGGAGTGGTAAATAATATTCCATCATGAACTTGACAATTTTAAATATGTTTTACTGTACAAATGAAATTAAATTATCTTTAACCTGCGGTTAAATTAAACCTCGTTCAACCTAAACCATAACTTGGAGATAGCATATTTAATTTTATTAATTTATATTGAGTAATTTATTTAGATATGTAGCTATAAGATCGAACTATAGATGCTAAACTGACTGATCCCCCGCCCTTATGCACATTTACTGGGTACCAAGCTGGTCGGATACCATCCAACTGCACGACTGCAGCATTCTTACATGTTTGTATTAGTTCGCTGTGTGTTTGTACGATTGTCTGTATGTAGGTTTGTGCGCTGTGTGCCGCTTTGAGGGTGGAAGTTTTTCTACTTCTCTGGAAAATGCGCGTTTATTTGTACGTTCCTTACATTTCGCTGCACCGAGCGCCGGGCATATGACACAGGCCCCAGGCCCCTGCTCCCGAGATTGGCTTGGTGGTCAGTTGGCCAACCAGTTCGCTGGGCAGAATATTCGTGCGCGATCCGTGCAGGCGAAGTGCAATTTATGCTGGGACTGGGACCGAAGACTGAGGCTCATAGCCAGACACGCAGCGAGACACGAAATTCGCTGTAAGTTTTCAGGATGAAAACCGGTTGGGAGCGAAGCATAAAAACTGGTTTCCAGCGAGAGATGAGCTACTTTTTGTGACCGTCGTCGAGGCAACAACAAATAAATTGACATCGCCAAGCAGGATGACTTTTCGAATAATGTGGATTTGGTATTAAGCACAATCCAAAGAGGACGTAAAGATTGCATTTTTTTAATGCTAAGAAATATAAATATATGCATGATCAGGGTTGAATTCGGATGTCCTATACTCTATTTGGTATGATAAAATATGGAAAATAAAATACATTTTTCTATTGAATTTTTAAGATTACCGTGTGAGATATGGAATTCCGGAGAACGAAGCTTAAAAAGATAGTATTTTCTTTGGAATTACAAAATTTAAAAAAATGTATCTTTAAGATACGCCTTGACTTTACGCATCAACTTGCAAGTAGGGTATGCGCAGATCGGTGACGACTGTCCACAAGAAAACGCACACACAATGCGCCTTGTATTTTTATTTGGTTTTCCAACTTTTTGGGGTTGTGTGGTATTGCTGTGCACTTATACGTTTACATGTGAATGTCCGTATGTACTGGCGTATGTACCGTGTGTTTTCAAGTATCTATGTTTGGTTATATGCTTGTGTGCATGTATCTGGATCTGTTTGCCCACGGATACGGATGGGAAGAGGTGCAGAGGAGAGGAGGAGAGGAGTGAGCGAGAGAGCAGAGCGTTCTCGAGCGCATTGCTCTCGTTGCATTCAATTCTGCTTCTTCTGCTTCTGCTTCTGCTTCTGCTGTGTGTTGTATTAATGAAAGTGAGTCCAGCAGCGAAAGAAAGCAGGCCGTGGAACTAAGACAAGTTCTGTTTCTGATTCTGCCTCTGCCCCTGTTCTCCTCCTTCGTGGCACGCAAGTGTTTTCATGTTTTCCAGACCCACGGCAAAGGGTTCGAGATCGGTACAATACCGCCCCCTAGGAGTTTCGAACCATTTTTAAGTCACTGATCTAATCCGTCTTGAACTCTGTGGTATTTCAGATGACAGTTAAATGTTTTTTATCACATATGCATTTAAAATATTAGCATAAATAATAAATTGATCGAAATGTAACCCAATTTATTGAAATATTTTCTTTAAGTATTAAATACCCTATGTTCAAGAAACCAATTTTGAATTTTTGAAATCTATTTAAACAGTTTGATATAATATTTTGGGATTCCAGTTCCTCAAACTGCATGGTTCGAATTTCTTTCAAAACCAACAAGACTGCCTTTTATTCAATAATATACATAAATATTTAAAAAAAACATCAAAAAATATTTTTAGATAAAAACGATCGTTGTGCACTTGAAAAAGGCACACGTTATGACCCAATTAAAATTCAAAATAAAAGAGCAGGGCACTGGCTAGTCGTTTCGACTGCACTTAATTTTTATGTGTTAATGCACACACACACTTGCACTTGCATAAATGCCTGTGTGTGCTTGTCTGTATGTCTTGCTCATTCTTGTTTTTTCCTGTTGCAGTCTTGTCTTCTACTCGTTTTATTAAGAGGGTTGGAGTTTTTTTACGTTCTCTCACATTCTCCTTGCTTCGTCTCTCACTCTCTTGCTTTCTCACTCTCTCTCTCTGGAGATGGCCCTCTCTTTCTACCGCGCTTGAATTGAACCTTTTGAATGCAATGCTTTGTTTAGCTTGATTTTCGAGCAATTGCAACTGTTACATGTGTTTTATCTAGAATTTATATGCACATTTTCCAATTATGAATTATATTGCCCGGCGACCGGGGGAAATATTTCGAATATCGGCTAATATACCTTAAACTCGATCACCGGCACTATCAGGTATTCAGATACACTCACACATGGGCACAGAATGTACCTGCAGATACATAAGTACATGCACACATACCCCCTGTATATTAATGTTATGATATCTGTATGTAACTCGTTTCCCTATTCAGCATCCTCTCAAGACCCCCAGCCCCATCTCCCTCGCACATCCACTCATCATCATGACCATGCAGGTCCCCGTACTCCTACAAATCTTTTCAACTAATACCCGACTTAGGAGCACGAAAACCCTTTCCTTTACTTCCCCATGCGGCCAGGATAAACCCTATCACCACTTGCAATAATTGAAAATGTCAAGGACCATCACTCAAAGAGCTTAGAATAAAATAAAAATGCGTTTCTTAATGGCGTTTATTCGTTTTATTAATTATCATGAGCTTTTAGTGGGCTGAAAGGCTTACGGGCAAAAGGTCGGGCGTTGGGAGGGGTATTTAATCTATGCTAATTGAAAAAGACAGGCACAGCATTGCAAAAAAAGATTAACTCCACCTTGCACACCACTCCTAATACACATTTATAAACGATTATGTTTAGTTTATTTTATAAATAGCCATATATTGTTATTTTTATGTCATATGGATATGATCCTTGGACCAATAGAGCACTCCCAAAACATAATATTCGGATTACATTCTCAATATTCATATAAGTTAGATTACGTATGTATAATATTTGTCCTTAATTTTCTGTGCAATATTTGTACACAATGTATTTATAAAAAGGTAAGAAATAATGAATGTAGAAAACAAGTACAAACTAAATAACCTACAAAAGAAGTAGACCAAAGATCAGCGATTTTAAGGTTAATATCACAAAAATTATTCAAATGATTTGTTACTAAGCGCAAATGAATGAATGAGTCAAGCGGAGGGCAGGCATTACAAAATCATAATACATAATACCGACTATATAGATACCAATACTTTCTGTTCTTTAGCTATTTGAGTATTCAGGATAGAATATTTAACGCTTGAGTTATATGGAAATATATAATTTTCTATTTGTAAATGGAGTATATATTGGCCATGGCCACGTTAACCCAGCGCAGCCGATAGCAGGGGCTCCCAGGCCCTATTAGTGTCCAAATAGAGTTGGTTGCACTGCTCGGCCAGAGAGTCGCCGTCGTCTAGTATGGTTATTGGAAATAGATCGTTCTGGAAAAGTCAAAAAGTGAATTATTTTTGAGTTGGGAGTGGAAAATAAGTGATCAACCTACATTTTTAGACTGCCAAAGTTGCTCGAGCAACCGCAGAAAACGTTGCATTTCCATACTGCTGGCAAAGAAGATCACCAAATCGTCCAAATTTTCTAGCGGAGCCTCCTGACAGGAGAATTCCAGTATGCACCACCAAGTTTCGCACCGTGAGGTTATCTTAATGCCCGTCATCGCTTTAATGTCCGCACAGGTGAGTATCGCCAAGCCGGAGTTCTTTCCATAAACACTAGTCATTCGCT